TTCATGTACCTTTTCACACGTAACAACTGTCAATGGGGAATAGGACACCATAGGTACATTTACAGATTAGGTGATTATTCTGGTATATAAATATATAATCTGCTGAAGCATAGCTTACGATCAACCAATTTGCGAAATCGACAGTAAACCATATGTAGTGTTGCTTTCAGTCGTGTCAAAATTCTGCATTTGCTACAGGTGAACACCATTTTAATGCATAAAATCCATATAATGTGAACATGCAAGCGTTTAACATTTCAATTGAGATATGCTAACCCAATACAAGGTGCAGAGGGTATGCTACGGCTGATAAATGGAAATTAAAAATGGGACAGCTGATATCGTCATGTTTGTCATCGATCCTAGTTTGAAGGCGTCCATTTGTGTCACTATAAGAAAAATATCTAATTATGAAGCAGCCCATCTAGTTTCGGGTGTATTTTTACTGGATATATGAGATACAAGTATTTTTGGAAATTTGTATTTTAAAATTGATTTGAAATAAGAGCAAAACTTTAATAATTGGGATCTTAAGAATGTTTTAGAATCAACATCGTACTTACACCACTGGTTGAGTATACAGTACGTGCTTACTTATTTTGTTTGAATTTTAAAGTCAGCTGTAGTTGTATGTCTATGATGTATGTTCACAGAGTTTTAGCTACTGGACCCAAATTACTTACTATTGAGCAAGTTATATTAAAATTCTGTTTTACTTTAATGAAAATACTATCAAATACAAAAACTTTTTTGTTGGTGTCAGATTTATTTCTGCGTTTGTTTGTTTTTGTTTCAGTTGTGTGTTTGTATGTGTTTGATGTATGTTTACACAGTTTTTGGCAATTTGGTCCCAATTATGGTCACATTAAGAAATTATGGCACATTTACCTTTTATGTCTGTTTGGGATGCTCACCCAATTTTATCAATATAACGGAACTATGAACAACTGGAATACAACTGTATTGTTTAGCTAGTTTTAAAACCAGGTATAACCCACCATTTGTTTTAAAAAAAATGCCTGTACCTAGTCAGGAATATGACAGTTGTTTTCGTTTGGTGAAAATTATCGTTAAATGTGTCTTTGTCGATGTCAGCGTTGTAAATGGTACGGAGTTCGTATACATATACGCATTTAATTATAAAAGTATAAGTCTTATTTGTGCATATAATTAATGGACTGATTGATAGCTGACTGTTGTCACACTAAGCCGTACATAGAATCCACGAGTGTACATAGATAAGTGAAATAAGCTATGGTTCATCGATCACTGATCATTTACCGATCAGTCAAGTTTATGTCAAACAGTAATGCCTAAGATTGCATGTTCTTTACATCATTATATTATTATCTTTAAAGCCACCTTTAACTGTAGATATAATGATAGACAGAATTTAAAAAAATTTTCTTTCATTTCACAGTAACATTAAGAAACTGATACGTCGACGTGCCAACATGGTTTAGCCAGCTACAAAACCATATCTAATCAATCATTATCTACATAAGGAAATGACTGTACCAAGTCAGAAATATGACAGTTTTTTTCCATTCGTTTGATGTGTTTGAGCTTTAAATTTTGCAATTTGATAAGGATTAATCCGTTTTGAATTTTCCTTGGAGTTCTGGCATTTTACTTTTTAAACGAAAATAAGATGTTTTGATTTACAATAAAATTAAAGTTTTTTTTTATATCTGGCCATGAAATAAGGGCTAAACTGACGGTAGATATGTAACATGTACTTGTCTTTGTATAACTGGTTTGCTGTTTCATAGTAAAGTTGCCATGTACACAGGCACTTGTCTTTGAAAAAAAATTCCTATATACCTTAATATAACACATAATACTTAACTCGCATTTTTGAAAAATGACAGGCGGTCGCGAAATTCCATTATATTTCGATTTCTTGGTCTTCAACCTCACCAAAACTTGTTATGCCGTAAATCTAAATTGATTTATCTACACAATGTTGTGTATAACGCCTACCTTTGTTGTCAGAATCATTCGTAGAAGGACTCCCCAAGTATGTCAACCGTAATTATTTAGTCTACCAACAGCCGATTGGAAGTATAAGAATGGTAATTGAGAACAAATGATAGAAATTCCACAAATAGAATCATACCGCCGTGCAATTACAGATGTTTCTCTTTACCAAATGTTTCCAATATTTCGATTTATTTACTTTTAAATTCATAATTTATATGATCTTATATTAAACGAACCAACAATATTTTAAAACTGGTATGAATTTTACAATTCGATACGAAAAGGCCGTTAATATTATGCAATACTAGTGAATACGAGATTTTACTCATCTCGGTTTCCGTATCATACTAACTAGACTCCCTAAAAATAGTTTTTATGAGCTATAGCTGTTATTAGTTTCCCAGGTAGTATAACCTTGCATTGCTAATGACTTAGTGACATGAAACAATGGTAGAATGTATTTGTTCAACAAAGCAACAAAGGTCCGAATATCATTTCTGAAATATTATCAGGAAAACGCATCATTTAAATACTAGGAATCGCTTTTATATATATATATTTGTTTTGTTTGTTTATTTATTGTAATATAACTCTTCCTTGGGAACTAAAATTATGTTTAAATAACCTCAGTAATAACATTTAGAAAACAGTACGCTGGATTGTCTTAGAAGCAGGCAAGTACATTGAAAAAATGTTTTTCTACATTCACTGAGTTAATAATAAAATTTTAATGAAAATATCTATTCAACATGATTGTAGCTTTGACTATGTATCGTTTAACTAATTATACTGTTAGCGTGTCGTTTGCCATGTCAGAAATTTCTCGGATAGCCGAATCGCAAATTCAATAAGGAAAAGTGAACAGAAAAGAAGAAACAGTTTTATGACAAATCATGAAATATTTAAGACTGATAACTCTGCACGCCTGTCGCACGTTTCGTTTACACAAGACTCATCAGTTGCACTCGATACAAGACAGTTGGAAGGCTTAATCAATACGGATGTCGGAGAACTTAGAATTATTGTGAAGTTTAATGAAGAGTAAGTTTACCAAAATGACGTATCAATGATGTTTAAAGGCAGTACATGTTGAAATACTTTAAATAACTAGCGACATACAATTGACCATTTCACTATTTAATTGTATTTGTAAACTATTCCTGATTGTTAAGAGGATAAGTTTGAATTTACAAGAAATTAAATTTCTGATGAACTATAGATATTAATAATTTTTCAAGTTTTTCTTAAGATTGGATTTAACACATTTTTTCAACACGTTTACGTAACAAGTTGATTTGAATATGGAAAATCATGTGGGGAAACTAAAATGAAAACAAATTGTCGATTTTCCATCATAACATTCATAATAAATTTCGATATTAATGCAATGTAATGCAATATGTATTGCGAGTTTTATCTTCATATAGAAATGTAGATGTGGTATGATTGCCAATGAGACAATGCATTTTTTAAAAATCATAAACTTTTCATCGCAAAAACCATGTATTATATATCAATGTAGATAATACCACGACGTGTAAAAAGTTTCCATTTTTCTCGTATATATGCCATTGATTTCATCTCTAAATACAACATGTACAATGTTAATTCTAAACATTTTATATAACTAACGTAATCGATGTTATTCTTTCGTGTATTTAAAACTTATCAAAGAAACACGGTTTATAATTAGTTGATAGAAAGTTAGTTGATATGAGTGTACGTTTCATTCATGTCAATTCCGTTATCAAAAAAAATGAAACCGATTTAAATCAGCATAATAAAAGGTAATTTGAATATTTTTTAAAATACCAAGTATATGTAACCGGAATAGATATACATTGTAATAATGCATTTAATAACAATAAAAAAGTTACTGCCTTCAGTTTATTCATACATTTTATCATATTTTTTTTTTGTATTATCGACTTCCTATTAGTTTCAACAAAGAATGCTTTTTCGTTTAAAACGTGCCAGTCGCTGAGAAACTTCTACTTTGCATGGTTACCATACTGATAAGTGTTTGTTTTAAATAAGATTTACAGTGACACCATAGACAACCATATAATAAGCTACATCTAAGCCTATGGTCTCGTGTTTATTATTTTAAATCCGTGATGTCAAGTTTCTTAGATTCCTCGATCTCCAATATGCAGTTAGATACAGGTACGAAATTTTATCGGGCCTCGTCGAAATTGAAGATAAGTTCTAGAGACAATTTGAACGTAAAGGTATCGGCGGTACTGCGATGAAATCCCCTCTTAAAGTGTTCAAAGTCACAGCTTTGCCCGCTTTGCCTCTGACAAAACAAAGTTTTTAGAAAGGATTCAGCCAATGTGTTGGTGATATATAATTATTAACCAGCGTCATTAAGTTGGCGGAGATTCTTGTGTTTGACAAGTTCAAGGGCTGTTGAAAGGATAATAACTTTGTTCACTGTATAATCTGCAACTCCTATGCGTTCTATGTGGGCATTTACGTCTTTATTTATACCCCAACGAAACGAAGGTCTACCAGGCTTCAACTCATTGGCTATGATGTGTTTTGTTTCTTTTGTTTGGGCGAAATATTTCGTTTTGTAGCTCGGACAGTTCTTTCTTTTATGTCTAGTCGGGGGGGGGGGGGGGGGGGGGGGAGGGGGTCTTTCCCTAATTACAGGGAGCGGGGACGTATCCGTACTGTGTAACGCACCTGACAATTCTAGTACAGGTTTCTGGAGTATAGTGGTTGTTGTTTACTTTTCTCCTTGAGTACCGTTGTGTGCAGAGGGGCGACAAGTGAGTTGACAGTTTCAGCATGGGCGGCTTCAAACTTTTAAGCGGAATACAAGTACGTCGTCAGGAGAAACTTTCTGTCTTCCTTTGTGTAAAACTTGCGCCCTACTGAGTTATTAATATTTTCTTTTGAGTGTCGCCGGTTTTGTTCCGAGTGACCCTATATCGCCAAAATACGTGCAAGCAATCATTTTTGAATTTACAGAATGCAAATTAGTTTTTAAACCTTTATGGATAATTTATAGGCAATTGAATTCACATTTATTTCCGGGAGTCATATTATCTGCCATGGAGGCAGAAATCCAGAAACAAGAAGAAGTAGAACCAGCCTTTGACTATAAGGTGATTATATTTGTTATTTAATAGTTTTAAAACAAGCAATATAGTAAAACATAGACAAAAAAAAGGTTTAAAATGAACTTGATACAGATATACAAAACAATGTATATACAACACGCTATTTTTGCTATTCACATGAGGCAAAACACAGATAACGTTCGTAACCCCCCCCCCCCCCCCAAAAAAAAAAACCTCGGTGTTAGAAAATAGCTTGTCTTGCACGTATATATAGTGGGGAGTTATTTTCATTCAATTCAAGTAAATTATCGGCTTATTGGTTTTAAAAAGCAAATTCGGTCTTCAGTAATAGCTTACATTTCAGCATATACGCCAATGACACATTTTAACATATACGCCAATCACACTTACAAAAGAGGCAATACTAAAGAATCATAGGTCTGATCTATGTTCCTTTGGCATTTTAACAACTGACGCAGAACTTGATCTTCCTTTACTTTAACAGATTAAAAAATACAAAAAAGTCCTTACGAATAATGTTATATTGCTGGATCTGCAAAGTGCTCTACACACTCTCTTTCCAAACTATTAACATCAATTCTATCAGAAGTCAAAGCCGTGCAGCAGAATCATCGTGAAACTAGACTATAAGGTCGGTATAAAGCAGATATGGATATTAAAACTTTTGAAAGATATGTATATACAAGGTAAATCTCTTTTCTCTTGCAATAGCATAAACACATTTGAATCCTTTAAACTAATATACAGATGGTCTTGAGTAAAAGATTATATGTGCTAAAATTGTGTATCTTTTCATTTATTTAACGGTTTCTCGTGTATTTGTCTTCATCTATCATGTTTCTTTTCGTCGTTTGACTTTTGACGTGACTCTTTAATTATTAGTGTTGTCAAATTGAACATTTATACCCAACTGATTACTCAAAAATCTTTCGACTGATTAACCGGTTAACCGGTATGAAAGGTAATGTTCAAAGAAAATGTATTCTAAGGGTGACTTGGGTAAAGAAATATGGCCACTTTTGGTCTTCTGCCCGACCTGCAGTAAAACACTTGCCAAATGAGGCGTCCTTTTGTTAAATGTCTGAATTCGCAAAAATAAAATAACAAAAATATCGAACTCCGAGGACCATGTCTGGTCTGAATGTGGACACTAAATCCCATGTCTCATGTAAAAAAAGTGTCGTGCTCTTTGCATGTTAATATGCTTTGCAGCAACTCTTTGAGAGGTCCGTAGGTGACCTGTTGCAAGGACTAATTTATGACACTATTAAAAATATATATTTTCTCATTTTCCAGTAACATTCGAAATGTACGAGCCTCCTTGCAGTTGAACCCTACTGTAAGACCTGCTTATTGAATTAATGGTTAATTTGTTCTCATCCTTAACATGCATGAAATATTTTCCACTAGACTGTACGCAACTATCAATCAACCAACCATTAAAAGAAATGTATGCTATTATTTATCATAGTGTATGGTTATATAAGATGATGTATTGAAATTATCGTCCACACCTTTTCTTAAAACATTCTGAACATACTTTCTGGATTAATTGTATTTTGAATATACTGTCTCGTTTAACATTAGGCCAAATGAGTGTAACATTTTAGAATAAAAAACCTGATTCTACCTTTAAACTCAAGTTCCTTAGAATTTAATTATCATAAATAATCATGATAATGAATACAGAATAAGATTGCAAACAAATATAAACCTGAATTAGTAGGAACGTATTATGTTATGCCGTAGTTAGTTCGTGCTTCTTCCGTCAATCAACACTTCAGTGGCATAGATGAGTAGATTGAAAAGTGGACTGGTCCAAACTTCAGAAAGTGACGAGCAGATTTGTCTTGATGGAGGAAGCCGGGAGTGCTTGGAGAGAACCACCGACCTTCGGTAGGAACAATGACAACTAATCAGTTAAGATTGGATTCTAGCGCACTACTTAGACCACTTGGACACCAAGCCATCCCCCCTCCCCCCCCCCCCCCCCCCCCCCCCCCCCCCCCCCCCCCCTCACCTCAGAAAACAAAACAAAACAATCAGAGCACTAATAACTTTTTTTAAAGTCGATGAGATATACTTTTTTGGGCTTTATTTGAAAGAGTACACAAAGCACTGTCATTCTTTAAACCTTCATGAAGAAATTACTAACAGATATTTTTTAGTATTGAAAACGTTTTTCATGCTTATGTATCTTTTTTGGCGGATGTGCCTGTGTCTCTACTTTCAAGCGACATAATTTCGCGATTTAAAGATATTAATACACAAATACATGTAGGGGTTCTATTTATATTACAAGACCTGTCCTGTTTTTTAGTCATCATAATCATTCGTTGCCATGACACATTTTATTGGATTTAAATGATCACTATTTTATTTCCAAAGATTACCAGGTGAAATAACATCCGATAAAATATTTGTCAAAAAATTTGAAATAAGCAAGTACAAACACTTATCTCTAACCTATTAATAAACACTAGAACACACGCAATTAATCATTGGTAACTTCAATTATTTGGAAAACAAAAGGGCCTGTAATGGTGTAATTTTTAAACAACACCATTATCATATATAAGTTATATATAAAGTTGAATTCTAATATTTGTCGTTTTTACGTCATGCCGGTTAACAAATTGGACATCGTTATTTTAGCAGTATATATTCATAGCCATTGCTCGAAAGTTGGTAAACATATTGGAATTTCAATATTGAAGAACCTAAAGTTCGTTTGCTTTCTTCTTACTTACTTTCGCTACATGCTTTGCAATCATTTGATTGTATTTACATATGATATTACAAATAGTGTACCCTATAATACATTTGTTAACATCTACTTCATGAAGTACATCTTTTTTTGTGAAGAGCGTCGTTAAAAAAGTACGACATTTTGTCATTACCATACTATCAGAACTAGTTTCTATAGTTACTGAACATGCTGAATGGATGTATTTGTTTGATATGATGTGTATTGACAATCAGACATTTTGAGATATACATTTCACCATACAAAGATGAAGTTTTTATGTACGCAAAATTATAATTGCCATTTCAAAACTGATGATAGTTCAGATATATATTGATTATTGCAGGTCAAATCAGAGTCCACAATGTCACAAGAAGATAAGGCAAAACAGAAAAAAAGAGGTCGGAGAGAAAGGTGTTTATTTATTTTTTATAATTTCAAGGATGATCGCAGAAAGGGGAAAATCTAAGTTTTAAAATATAAACAGGATAAAGAGGAAAAAGGCAGTAGATACAAAAGTAATATTAAAAATTCAATAAAAAACAACAAATAAAGCATGATAAAAAAAACTCCTTTAAAAAACTTCAAAAAGATATTAACAAATATAATGCCTACGCATGTTAATATATGCACAGAGCATGACATGAAGAATTATTCTTAAACGAAATATTTATTACAATTCAGGTATTTTGATAATTCTAGGTCTATCCGGAAAATCAGACGCCTCTAAAACATGCTGAAAACGGAACAAACGAATCTAGCTCGAAGGTAAATTTAAAAAATAGAAATATATCGATGTTTATATCTCATAATTTGATTTAAAAGAAAAATCAGAATAACAAATAAAAACTGAGAAAAGGGTCGAGTGATAGGGTCAGCGTCCCCTTTAAATGCATCATACAAAATCTTCTTTTTATATATCTTATGTCATGTACTTTTTACAATAATAAGCAAAAAGGGATTAACCTCTGTAGAGAAGTATATTTATGAATAACAAAGAAAAAAATGATGACTTAAAGTAAAAAGGTCAATGAAAATAGAATAATAAAAAAAAAAAACTGAAACAATTAAATTATTGTTTAACTAGTTTTAGCGGTAACTGATATTGACAACTTCTCAATAAAAGGTAGAAGAAAATTTCAAATCGAGAATTTGAAACGAGTTAACTACAAACAGATTATACAAATTTTCATAGCGAACGTCACATTTTTTTTTTAGAAAAACTCTCGGAAAAGTATTAAGAGCAAAATATGAAACGCGCAGAAGGATATAAACCATATCGTCTGAATTTGCTTGTTCGTGGGTTGACGGGTGAAACATGTCAAGCAGGATCTGTATACCCTTCCGGAGCCCCTGAGATCACCCCCACGTTTGTAGGGTTTCGTGTTGCACAGTCTTTAGTGTTAAATGTCTTGTTTTGTGTACGGTTGTTTGTCCGATTGTCTTTTTAATTTTTTTTAGACATGGCGTTGTAAGTTTGTTTTCGACTTTTATGTTTGAATTTCCCTTTGGTATCTTTTGCCTCTCTCGTTAAATTCGCGGATTTTAGTTTTCTGAAAAAATCGAGTGAAGCATTTGAAGCCATCAGAAACGAAGGATTCTTGAAAATAATCAAATGTTGTTTTATAATGATTTGTGGGATATTGCAAAATAAGGTGTTTATTTTCATTTAGTTGTTCGTCTTTCATTACTGACAACAATCATCTAATTTTTAATAGAATAATCACTTCCAGAAATAAGCTGATTCAACTATGCTTACAAATTGACTCGATTGAAGGAAGTTGCAAAATAAACGTTTTAAATGTGACATTTCACATTCAGATATATTGAGGATGTTCTTTCCATTAACAATCCAAACTTTTTTTATTTGGTTCCATTAATATATTTTCCAGAACTAGAGATTACAACAAACAACAGACACGGCTTCCTCCGCCTCAATTTTAGACTTATACCTCGAATTTGACATAAGCAGTCTTGTCAATACCAGAATCTATGACAAGCGAGAATTTTGAAGTTTTCACCACCTTAGCAGCAATATAACAACTTTTTGTCCTTGTATATTTTTAACCTTTACTGTTTTGTCCATTTTTGATTATATACATATGACGTGGCTCGGTACCTATACATCCCGCTATTGTGTTATTGTGCTATAGTCAATTTTGAATTCTTGTCTTTCATTTTTGTTTATGTTCTTTGTCTATATGCCATTTTGTGTTTCTTGTTGAAACAGTTATTTGTTTTTATAGTGATTAAGATTGTATTACAATGTTGACTGATGTACCCCAATTTTTGACATTTTTACCTACTATGTCTGTTTGTTTTACTCACACATTGTTGTCATTATAATGGAATTCAGTGCAACTGTCATACAAGTGAGAGGTTAAGCTAGTTATAAAACCAGGTTTTAATCCGCCATTTTCTTCATGAGGAAATGCCTCTACCAAGTCAGGAATATGAGAGTTGTTTTCCATTCGTTAGTCTGATATTTGTTTAAGCTTTTGATGTTGCCATTTTATAAAGGATTTTCCGTTTTAAAATTCCCTTGGTATTCGGTATTTTTGTTATCTTACTTTTTCCCATGATGTACAAGGCCAAAATTTTAAAAATACATAGTACAAATAAAATATTTGTTCGTTAGTTTGTTTTCGAGGTAGAACTCATAAAAATCGTTAAAAAAGAAAACGCGATGTCGTTTTGATCTAACCTGTATGGTATTTTCCCTGCTGTGCAACAGTGTTGAGGTCGATCGCATATTTTCTACATAACATGAAACAACTTCATTAGCTTCCAACTAAAAATAAAAATAAAAAAAATACCTAACTCCGAGGAAAATTCTAAACGGAAAGTCCCTAAGCAAATGGAAAAATCAAAAGCTCAAACACATCAAACGAATGGATAACAACTGTCATATTCCTGACTTGGTACAGGCATTTTCTTATGTAGAAAATGGTGGAAAATGGTGTATTAAACCTGGTTTTATAGCTAGCTAAACCTCTCACTTGTATGACAGTCTAAACTTTGATAAAAATCTAATTGATAAATGTTTAGTTTAATTGTATAGTCGTTGGTCAAAATGAATGTCGACTAATACAAATATTTTGTTTTCATTTTAGCCGGAGGAGAATAATAAAAACGACCTTCCAAACTCTAACCGATTCACAGAGAGCAAGAATTTCATACAAAGCATAGCAGACGTGTCGCTTATGATGGCAAATATTTCACAGTTGAGGGCAAATTTGGGTTGTGGCGACAGCAATTCATTTTATATTCATCTACTTACACTAGTTATTCTTTCACTGGTGTCACACATATTTTTTGTTTTCTTCACTGTGATTAGATCGCATTTTAGATACAAACACCGTATTGCAGTGAAAAGAGCAAAAGAGGGTGTTAAAAAAGACGATTCAATAAGGTATTGCTGTTGTCTTACTGAAAAGTATATCCGTAATGAATACAACGATAGCGATTTGTGTCAGTGTCCACATTGTTATGCAGATCTTTACCTGAATTATATCTGTAATATTCTTGTTTTCATAACAATTTGTGCTAACATTGGTATAACAGGAATTGGAATTACTGGAGAATGTTAGCCTTTTGATTAAGTGCCAGTTTTTGTAAGAATCAGGCAATTTAGAAAAATTTCAAAACATGGCTGAAAAAAACCCACCGAGCAATCTATCCTATTTTGAAGTTACTCTCATCCTGAGTTAGAAATGGTAGGTCTTTGTTTCTGCTGTTCTGGTAATTCGAGAAATCTCTAGATAACTTTTGGTTAGAATGATAGCAAATTACAGTTATCTCCCTTTAATTGTTAATTTCTAGTGCATTTCAACCAAATTATATCTTGAGTTACCAGAACAGGAAGAGGAAACGAATGTTATATTCGTGCACCATGATACAATTTGAACATACATTAATGTCAACTTGAGTGGGGTTTTTTTTGTCATGTTTTCACCACTGCCTGATTCTTAGGCAGATTGGCACTTAAGAGTTTATGTATATGCAATGTTGGGAATTGAAATATTTGATATGACTTGTTTGGCTACAAACCAATGAAATACTTAAATATTAATTTATGTTTCATCCTTATATAAACATGTATAATACAAAAGTACACAAAACACAACAATACATAAATTAATTATATTGTATACCCATTGAATTAAAAGAAATCCCCCTTCAAAAATTTCGAGACATGAATACACTAAAAGTCAAAATGAACAGAATAGAAGGAAACTACGCAAAACTTTATATCCAAAAAGCAAAACCGCGAGCTTAAAAAACATATACACCTAGTAACAATGGCAGCTGTCCATAATACAATAAAAACGAAATAATAATAAATTGCACTCTTTTCTAAATCTGAGTCAGAGTGTGTAGGATAATTCAAATGAAAAGAAACACAGATTACAATCTCATTAGGTATTTTATGGAAAATTTAATGAAGTGAATGACTCATGAATAATTAAAAATGCAAAATGCATAATGACTTGGGTAAATATTGGAAAGCTCATAGTTTGTCAGGCTCACTTCTAACGAAAGATGAATAATTCAAATTAGAAAATGATCCATGGTACACAATGATTATGAACTTAAAATTCTTTAAGGATTCAATGTATTCAAGTGACATGCTTTTGAGGGGAGCTCCGGGTGTAATGTTCTAAATGATGCTTGAACGAGAAAGGAAAAAAACATGTGAATACCGGTTACAATTCAACCCTATAACTTTCTGTTACCCGCAGGAACGTGATTTAGTGTATGTATTTAAGTATACTTTTGATATTTCATGTAACTTCAAAAATAAACTTCGAATAGTTTTTAATCGTGTTAGAATGTATGTCCTCCCATTTTTTATCTATTAATCGTTGGATCTAACCGATAATGATGAATGTGGATCTGGAAATTAAATAATCATACATCAATTTGATTTTGTAACAATTATATGTAAATTTATCTGAGGTAAACATATTTAAAATTGAAAAAAAAAAACATTTGATAAAGTTAATTTGCTATCTAAACTTGATTTGTTTTGCCGGCTATTGATATATTTGTTTAATTTTTTGACATTTTGGATTAGTTTACTAATGGATTGAGTCTGACATTTGTTGTATTAACACATATAAAATGAGAAAAATAGTCTGAGTGAAATCACGCTTTTCTTTTTTATGGAAATTTTGTCAAGCGATTATCACAGTATTGATATTTTTGTTTGATTTTGAAACAACTACACCAAATGGAATTGAATTAATTTATCATTTAAAACTGCCAGTAATAAAAACATCTAACAATCAATTTTCGACAAACAAAACAATCTTAAAAAAAACACATTTAAAAAATTAAATGCACTATAATTTGTCATTCGAGTCTATCACGTACTCTGACGTTTATACCTTAACGAATGTATTTAAATATCAATTGTATCAATATAAAATAAAAACAGTTAACAGTAAATTGATAAACGCACCGTTTCCCCCATTTATAAAGCAGCTAAATAAATGTTTGTATCCTCTCAATGAACAATTTACCTATTTTGTGTTTTTGGTTATTACATGGAGAACCTAAATAGAAAGGTGGATACCATGGACAGCTTCAATCATTTGCAGGATAAGATGAACTTATGGCTAAACATAATTGGATGTATTGATAAATTTCTGATAGTATTTTCTACCATTTAAGGACAATTTGTACAACTTTTAGAATGAGTAGATATTATTTTGAAAAACATATAATATAGTGACAAACCTTAAACAGCAAAGAAACTTTCCAAAATATTAATTTAGTGATAGAAATTAATAATTACCTCCATATAGTGGTAATTTCCCTAACCAATAAAAGATGACAGCCATAGTTGCCAATGCTTTAAAAATTGTATGACGATCCATCAAGATTCTTAAAAGCCTCTATTTGTATCATTTTACTGTTTTTGATTTTTGCCCATTTCTTTTTTCAACTTATGGGTTTGATTGCCCCTTGTCCTCTCGTTCTTTAAGAATTAGATGTTCACAAATCTGACTAATGCAATCAGCTATATTGTCTTCAAGCTTCGTTCTCAGCTGGCACTCTTTCATAGGTGTCAGACAAGGTACAATGTATGAATCTGACCTAACTGCATCATTGTACGATATTTCAATGGGATGTATTCGATTAACATCGTCTCGAATCTTTTATCATTAAAATGTCATCAAATATTCAACGAAACGTTAAATTTAAGCATTACGGTAGTTTAATTTCAATCCTTTGAATGCGCATCATTACAGCAAAATGTATACCGTCTATGATATTATCCTGAGATATTCATGAATGAAGTATGCCCTTTTTAAAATAAAATAATATGTCGGCAAGATGAGGTACACAGATGGTTGAAAACAATTCCTCAAAACGTACACAATATTTCAATAATTCAAAACCAAACCAAGTGTCATACAACCTTTCATTTGATATAGAGTGTTTTCGGGTAAAAAGGAAAAAGGATGTCAGTGCCTCTTACATGAATAAGATGGGACTTCAGTCAACAATGATACATATAGTCTTGTGTTAAGAGAAGAAAACTTAGCTTACAGTTACAGGAGCAGAAGAAATACCTGGCCTAGCTCCCGTTAAAGTTCGTGATTGTTCGTTCCTTTTTCTTGCTTATGAGATTCGAACGTTGCTTGATTATTGATGTCTCTTATTTTCTACATATTTTTTCAAACCACCAAGTGATATAATAGTTACATAGAAACTTTAATCGTTTATTGGTCATAGGAAAACAAATACATTTTGTTGATAAAGTTATAGTGGTTACTATCACCAACACAAAGTAACGATAAGAAATAATTATTACTAGTTCCGAGGTCAATTATCGAAATGTATTTCCGGACAGGGATTAGGTTTTATACAGGAACTGCAAGTAACACTGATATCATTTTAATGCCCAACCTACGATAGTAGAGGGGCATTATGTTTTTCAGTATGTGCGTCCGTTTGTCCGTCCGTTCGTCCGTCTGTCCGTCCGTCCGTCCGTCTGTCCCACTTCAGGTTAAAGTTTTTGGTCAAGGTAGTTTTTGATGAAGTTGAAGTTCAATCAACTTGAAACTTAATACACATGTTCCCTATGATATGCTCTTTCTTATTTTAATGCCAAATTAGAGTTTTGACCCCAATTTCACGGTCCACTGAACATAGAAAATGATAGTGCGAGTGGGGCATCCGTGTACTATTGACACATTCTTGTTTATTGTTACCTGTAGTTATTTTTACGCGCAAAATATATTAAGGCAACGTTTGTGTTGTTTCGCTCGAGAAAAAGTTTATCAAAAATAAAAAAGATATTTGATTAGGAATTTTTATATTATAGTGTACTCCATATATGATAGAAAATTCTTTAAAAAATTGCCAAATTCATACTTCAGATAAGTTATTGATTAGCATGAACTACAATTAAAATCACTTTTATTTCTTACTGTTACTTTTTATACGGAAAACTGATTTGCGTTTATACTAATTTGCACAATAAAATTACAAACAAATTCCTTTTAGAAGTTGTCTTTAGGTTGCAATTCTGTAAAGATAGACAATGCAATTTCCCATAGGAACTCCCCTTGCGGCTAAAACTGTGACACTTTTACTATGAAGTTTCGTGAAAAATAATATCCCAGAACGGAAAGTTTATATGCACTACTATTTTATTCAAAGGTCAAAATATAGGGCTGTGCGGCATATTTTCAACATTTATATGCCCTGAACTTCTATGAGTTTAACCTTATACTAAAATGCTATACAACCCTTACCTTCATATTTGGACCTCCTTAGAATTAAAATTTAGGCGCTACCATGTTTTTCTGTACTGGTTACATTCCCAAGTGATGTCTCTATGAGATGAAACACAGAGATCATAAATGGGAACCAGTACATTATCAAATTAACATATCTATGAATATTATATATCTCCCCAAAAGAGGCGTGGTTTGAGAAACAGCTGTATTTACAAAGTGCAACCTATACAAACATTTATTCAAATAGAAAACCTTCTAAATACACTTTTTCTCACAACAATACTTATTTATCAGAATTATAGCCTTAAGGAAATCACTGCATATACTCTAAGTTTCCTTTTACAGTACATTTTATACCCGTACCCCTGTTTCAGTTTTTTAAAGAATTTGAAAACAAGACTTTAATTATTGCCAGCTTACCCTATGTGCATGTTTTCTGACATGAAATATCTAAAATCATGTTTTAAACTATTCTGATAACAAATTGAAAGCATTTTAGAATACTATAAATGTATTGTTTAGTAGTTAATCATTCCAACATTCAAGATTATACAAAGTATCCAATCCTGCCTGTGTCTCCAGTCCACATCCTACTGTATGCCTATTTGTCAATGAAAGTTCACAATTTCTGTCTCAAATGGTCAGTTAAGAATTCTTGTCACAACAGTATCACTCTAACCATATAACTAACATAAGTTAGTTAATGTATGAACTAGAAGTGTCTAAACAAAGCCATATTTGCAAAATTGTATTTAAGAAGATATCAGTCTGGTGCATAAATTCAATAAAAGCTTGATAGAAATGACTGCTTACATCTTATTTTTGCATTACTTTCCAGCACAGTTATTGTTTTGTTTACAAAAGACCTTGAAAATAATAAAAGCATAGCATTTACAAGTTAAATTATCTGTTTTATGACCCAGGGTAGGCATTTTTTTCTGTTTTTTGCCCCCTTGGGCCTCACATTTCCTAAATATTTTCCCTGTTTTTAGCAAGGTGGAATATTTAGTATATATTTAGGATAGAACACACTATTGTAAGTTTTATTGAGGTCTTTTTGTAATTCTAGCTTGTACTTTTTCATGCCGCGGTCACAAAAAAACACATTTAGGTGTTACGGCTTACTTTTGGGTTATCGACAGGACAAAAAATAACCCAACAAAATTATTTAGGAAGGATCAATGAGTTGCAAGGACTTCGAAGAGTAAATATAAACACTTCTAAACAATTTAAATTACAAATAGGCATATATTATGAATTTATTTCGAATTCAGGGCCTAAAGTAAACCATGCATACTGTAAACTGTGAATTTATGCTGAGTCATCAAAGTTAAGGCTCAGGATTTTCTCAATCTTCATGAAATATTTATAAAACTTCATATTTGAGTTAAATTCTTTAAAATCTCTGCGATAAACCAGATTTTGTGAAATTCTGTATGTTCTATTTTTTAACCCTATATAGGTTGCAATTCTGTAAATATAGACAATGCAATTTCCCATAGGAACTCCCCTTGCGGCTAAAACTGTGACACTTTTACTATGAAGTTTCGTGAAAAATAATATCCCAGAACGGAAAGTTTATATGCACTACTATTTTATTCAAAGGTCAAAATATAGGGCTGTGCGGCATATTTTCAACATTTATATGCCCTGAACTTCTATGAGTTTAAACTTATACTAAAATGCTATACAACCCTTACCTTCATATTTGGACCTCCTAAGAATTAAAATTTAGGCGCTACCATTATTTTCTGTACTGGTTACATTCCCAAGTGATATCTCTATGAGATAAAACACAGAGATCATAAATGGGAACCAGTACATTATCAAATTAACATATATATGAATATTATATATCTCCCCAAAAGAGGCGTGGTTTGAGAAACAGCTGTATTTACAAAGTGCAACCTTTAAACGAAGAAACGCGTTGCTGTTGCAAAGCAATATTTGTGTTCCTATACCTAATGTGAACGTCGGTAAAAATAACGATGACTATAAGATATCACATAAGAATGAAAAAAAAAAAAAAAAAACATTTATGGAACAAAATTTTCCAACATTGCAATATTTATGCCTCAGAGGGCAAACATAACACATTTTTGAACCGTTGCTAGGCAACAATTTTGTTGCTTGGTTGTTGCTAAGTATTTAGTAAATTGAACTGTAAAAAATGACTATTTATACCTAACTTCCAGTTATTCTTAAACAAACAATTCTCATAGAGATAAACAATAAGTGTATGACTCCGGCCCTTCTCTGAGTACGAATATAAACATGATAAATAAGACTGAAAAAATACGAGAGCGATCTCAAAATATTTAGAAATAATATATACGGTATGTACTTTTATTAATTTTTGTATTCATGAATTTTCGGCTATTAACCAATATTATAACAAACTTCAACTGGCTGTTATGAATGCCTCATAAATGTTCCGACAACGCTGTAGTATTTAAGTTCAATGGAGACTCTTATGTAATTTATCTGTTGAGTTCTTTCTCTTTTCATTCGGGTGATCTATTGTCTAGTTTAAGGTGTTACAAACCTAATAACGGATTAGATATATGTTTTAACCGAGTAAATATATTTTGACGAATCTTTTGAATAATCGAAGAAATGTATTCACTTTTTAACCATATGCTTTGAACACGGTGCCTTTACTTCTGAACAGATTGTGTATTGTCAGATATATATATATATATATGGGGGGGGGGGGGGGGGGGGGATGGGGTGGGGATGAGCACATCGTAAATTACACTAAATTTAATATAAAAAAATCAGCTACAATATTTTGACCTTTTTACGGCAAAATTATTAACTGGAGTATATTGTTTTAACTCAAGCCCTCTCTAATACCTTCCCCAAATACCAACACACCCGCTCGCCTTCTAATGGTTAACCTAATTCACTTGATAGATTATCGTTAGGATATAGGAACTCTCGTGGCTAATTTATTTCGTACCGCGTGAGCTTTTCTTTAATTTGTGTCAGTCTGTCCTTGTATCGTCTTCTACTCAGTGTTACCAATTTCTTCTGAAATTGTTTTGCAAAGCTATTTATGTTCATCTTTGATCAGGCAAACACATTCTTTTCAAAATCCTCTTGGACACCCCTTTCCCCGACAGAAACTCAAAGGTCTTCCTTTTAGTCAAATCCTTATGTAGCATAATTATTCAGATTTGCGACAATATTATTTTGAGATCGTCCCTATTGTTTACATGTACCTGTATGATAAGAAGTCTTATTCGTACTCGGATTTCAAGTCCGACTATTTGCCAATTTGTACAGAAAAGGCAGTTCATAAGTGATAATTTAGTTATTTACTAAAAACCGTTTTTAGGCAACCTTCCTTTCATCGGAACATAAAGAAATCATTGTTATCTCCAGCTTCTATACAAATGCTATCAATGATTTGAGTATACACTTACTTGGGAAGGTCACAAAAAACACCCCTTATTATACCTTCTCAGTTCTAGTTAAAACACCAATGTTAACCATGGGTCTCCACTCTCTGATTCCTTGACTTTAAACTATTTAATCCTAAATAATTATATGCAGGGTTCACAATAAGTGATTATTTGCATGTTTAACCAAATTAATCATTGTTTTCTCCAGCTTCTACACAAAGGCTATCAATGATATGAGTATACACATACTTGGGGAAGGGGCCGTGCTTATCTGCATGTGCAAAATTCTATTTGTACATGAGGCATCATTACTTTATACTTTCCTAAAGTGGTATCCACGATAAGTAACTAAACTTCTACAGTACTGCAGTTGATTTATTTATTTTTCGTTGGTACCAGTTTTCATGTATTGAAGGAAAGTTGTATTATCTTCTCTTGGTCTGACCAAAGCTTGTATTCAGACATATAGAAAATTTAAATTTCGTTGAACATCTAAACGTGTGGTAAGTATATACACCCACGAAATTATGTTATTTATATTTGAATATATTTGACAAAATAAGTAATGTTATTTTAAAAAGCTCTGTTTAAGAAAACACATGACAATTCAGTGGTTTCCATTACCAACTTAAACTAGCCGTCATTATATATCAAACGTCATTGATAATATCGTCGTTAAAACAAACAAACAAAACAAACATCTACATTCAAAATGCTGATTACTTTTAATGTCCTAAATAGATAGAAAAAACATAATTAGTATACAATAAAACACACATTTACATTAACATTATGTTATTTATGTTTGAATTTATTTGACAACATAACTAATGTTATTTTAAAAAGCTCCTACCACTTGTCGGTCTGTTTAAGAAAACAAATGACAATTAAGTGGTTTCATTACCAACTGAAACTAGCCGCCATTATATATCAAACGTTATTGATAGTGGAGTTAAAACAAACAAACAAAACAAACATCTACATTCAAAAACTGATTACTTTTAAGGTCCTAAATAGATAAAAAACAAAACAAACATAAAAAGAATACAATGAAACACACATCTACAACATATCTGATTACTTTTAATGTCCTACACAGATAGAAAAAAAAAACATATTTAGTACACAATCAAAGAAAATTTATAAAAACAAACAGAAACGATTGTTTGATATTCAAATAGCACTGCAAAAGCACTGAAGGGGCAAAACATTTATTTAGGCTTTGATGTTGGTATCTTTGTGTCTTTGGATTCACTATGAAAATCAAAGTAATGACATCCATAAAACACGCCCTTTTCTATTATTGTGCGTTCTGTGTTGTCTTCGTCACACAATAAGGCGGTAAATGGAATGCTGATATTACCTTTGGTCAATGTCGATGTTACCGTAACTCTACAATTATACAAAAGAATATGTAAATTATAACTTCCTATATTTGAACTTCAGCAAAATAATCAATCTTTCTGCTTGTAACATCAACATAATGACCCCATTAAAATGTTCTCCGTCTCCTTCTCATATAAAATATTTTCCGTAGAGAATATTGTGTATCGAAAATCCCTGAAATACTCTTCAGGACAATATTCCACTCCATATTACAAAATATACTATTGTTACACTTTGGGTGTTTGTGTTGTGATTGCAAATCGTTCTGTCAAGAATACAATGTGATAACGTTAAGTATTAACGTTGATTAATTAAGAGAGAGCTTATGTATATTTTTTTTTCACACATTGTTGTCAATATAATGGATGTTTATGCGACTGTAATAGTGAGAGGTTAAACTAGCTATAAAACCAGGTTTAATCAACCATTATCTACATAAGACAACGCCTGTATCAAGTCAGGAATATGACAGTTGTTATCCATTCGTTTGATATATATCGATGTGTTTGAGTTTTTGGTTTTGCCATTTGATTAGAGACTTTCCATTTTGAATTTTCCTCGGAATTATATATTTTTGTTGTTTGACTTTTCGGTGCAAATATGTCATTTGTAGATTTGAAAACAATAGTTAGTTTACAAAGATTATATCGTGCATCATTCCTTCAATGTGTAAATGATTTAGCCCCTCTAATTCCATGATGTCGTAACCAATTTTATGATTATAACTGTATTTATTTTTTTATAGAAATATATCGTGCATCATTCCTTCAATGTGTAAATGATTAAGCCCCGCTAGTAGTTGTTTGTACCTTTCCATCCAGTTCCATGATGTGCAAAACCAATTTTATGATTATAACTGCATTTATTTTTTGACTGGAGTTTGCTTCGTATCAAGAAAACATGAAGCTATTAAATGGTATCGTTTTCGAAAAAAATAATTTGTATAACCTCCCTATATCAAACCAAGAATTCATGAAAATAAATTCATATCTATCAAATATTGTCTATATAAAGACAACATTTCATATGGAAAATTTTCTTCTCTGTACATTACGGGGGCAAAATATAATGAAAGGATCATAAAGGTGTATCTTAGAGGACAATTCTTTGCTTTGCATGTATAATGTTTTCATAACTAAAAGTGAACCAAAACAAATCATTCTTACCCAAAATACCCTCTCCTTAGTGTTCCTACTTATGTCTAACGTTTTAAAGAGAAATCATAACCAGTAGAACTATCACAATAATATATGAATAACTCTTGTTCTTTTATAAGTTAATAACGTATAAAAATATACAAATCATAATATAATATACAATAATAGCCTTTGTATGAGGTCGATACGAGGATATATCGAAATGAAAGATATGTATGGACTGAGGACGAAGTCCGAGGTCGATATACTTCTTTAGGTCGATCTTATATCGACCTCATACAAATGCTACAATTGATATCTTATTAATACAGAAGTAACGCACTATTTATTTGATAAGTTGCTTCAATTGTGTCAGATATTCTAAGAATAACCTAGCAATATCACTTGTCTTTCTGCAGTTACAATCTACCTTTGTAAAAACAGTTGAATATGTGACTCTTTATAAACGAATCAAATTAGTTAGAACATACACAATAATAATATTACCTAGTACATGGTTTGATTTTTGACGGATAACCTGGAACCCATTCTTCAGCTTTTGACTTTATGGTTCCTGCAGTACTGCCCATACTAACGGACATTTCAGCACTCATATTAATTCCTGTTTTACCAACTAACGGAATTTGAGTTTTTGCTGTCAATGTTGCTGTAATTAAATATTTTGCACTTTTAAAACAGATCTTAAATGTATTACTGCAACGATTTGACGAATACGATACACAATGAGTAATTTAACATGTAGACATTTTAGTATTGGGATATCAGTGAAACTGACATTTACACATGGGATTGTCTAGATGGGTTTTTACAGAATAGAAAATTATGGGAAAAATTAATAGAGAAATATTGGCAAAACATATAAGATTGAGTATAATAGGGTCCTTAAATAGAAAGAATAATAGGTACACGATATAAAGAATGTTAATGGTCTGCAATTCAAATTAGAGAATGTTTAAATGAAGATCTCATTCAGACCCTCAAATGTGTGCAATATGATGTGGTTCATCGTAAAAATTTCTGGATATAGTGGTATCGGTTAATCTCGCAATTCTTTTTGGCAAACCTTTTCTTCGATGTTTTATTTTTGGCTTTCCTTGTTTCTGGTTATAATCGTCTTACTCATGAAATAAGCAAATGGGTGTTTTCCGGATTTTACCGTCATACCATGACCAATTGACCAGTAGACAGTTGATTTTTTTTATCGTTTGGCCCATAGTAAGTAACTAAAATGATCGTTGTGTAATGTTTATAAATTCATTCTTATAAATAGCTAAAAAGCTTCAATAAATTGTTTTTGTAACTAGATATGGTGACTCGTCAAACCACTTTGAAAGTTTCAATTACGTTTAATACTACTCTTCGTCTTCATTACTTGTGACATTTCTACGAATATCTTAAAATTACTGTCTGAATAATTCTTTCAAGATTCTCTTAAGAAAGTTATTTTTACCAGATACTTTAGCTGCTCTGTCCCATCTGAACTCGTATGTAGCTTCTTTGCTTATGTTTACTTCATCTTGTGGTGTTACAGTCTGCACAACCGATCCATTGTTCACCTGCATCCAGCTAAATACAGATGTGGGTGTCCTGCTGATACGTGCTTCCTCCTGATCATAATCAATTTTTAGAAGTTTCATCTTACCCGGAGCTGATGGTTTCTTAAAAATAAAATAAAAATGAGAACAAACAGGGTTATGATGAAGATTACGAAAGCACCGAATATACATTATAATAGTGTAAGGTAATGAGAATTATTAATATAAGTCTTTGCAATGGAATTTAGACATGGACAATTCTTCATCAATATGTTTCTTGTACGATAAAAAGTAAAATAACCGAACGTCAAGGGAAATTCAAAACTGAAAAAGTCCTTTATAAAATGGCAAAATCAAAAGCCCAAATGCATCTAACGAATGGAAAACAACTGTCATATTCCTCACTTGGTACAGGCATTTCCTTATGTAGAAAATGGTTGATTAAACCTGATTTTATAGCTAGCTAAACCTCTCACTTGTATGACAGTCGCAAAGAATTCCATTATATTGACAACAATGTGTGAGCAAAATAAACAGATATAATAGGTAAAGACGTCAGAAATTGGGGTGCAGCAGTCAACATTGTAATATAATCTTAATCACTATGAAAAAACAAATAATTGTTTAAACCAAGAAACACAAAATGGAATATACACAAAGTACATAAAAATGAAGGACAAGAACTCAAAATTGACTATAGCACAATAACACAATAGCGGGATGTATAAGTATCATACAAGATAACATTGTAACACCTTGCAGGCAAAATAGATGTTAGTAAAACATAAACAATGTATAGTCTATCACTATATTTAATGTTCAATACAATGGTTCCAAATATTAAAAAAAACTAATGTATTGATATTTACCACAAACATTAATGCAAATTCGTTAAAACTTAATCAATTTCGTATCATTTTATAAAATCACAAGAAGCCTTATGTATCCGACATGACTAAGCTGTGTTCTATGTCGAAACCTTTTTTTTTGAAAGGCATATAAAACATATGAAAATTAAAAAAAAAATAATAATATTAATAATATATAATTATTCCCTTTCTCGCATGCCTCTATAGTTTTGGACACAAGAGTTTGATGGACATCATTGTTTTGTATAACTCAACTATATATGAGGGTAAACTGCTTGGAAACATTTTTAATCAAGAATTCGTATCTCCATTCCAAACTTTGACCATATATTTACTAGACGACATCACACAAAGGAAATTAAACTAGTTATTTCCTTGATGTGCAAAAATAAACTCATCTTAGATACCAGGATTAAAATGCTGTACTTCAGACGCGCGTTTCGTCTTCAAATGACTCATCGCTGACGCTAAAATCAAAAAAAGTTAAAAAGGCCAAATGAAGTACGAAGTTGAAGCGGTCAAATTGTAAATGGGTTAATCCTAAATCGTGGATATTATGAAATAGATGGTTTGTCTACACGAAGACGAGGGTAATTTTTATTGATGAATTATTTATCATATTTGGTTATAGTTTCTCGGAGAACATTCTTGCTAAATCATGTCAATATTATTTCAATTGATATGAAGCTGGTTATTATCCCATATAACGAATCTTATTATTTTGTTAAGACGTGAAACACAACAGCCTCTTTTTCTAATAAGACAAAAGGAAGTTAAATAAATGTTCAGCTCTTGGATTTTGGTGCGTCTCAATATTCAGTTTTCGGAGTAGTGTCTTGTTGGCTGTTTGTCTTTTTGTCTTTTTACTAATGGCCAGAGTGTGGTCAGACTTTACCCTATGTGTATCTTCCATCGTTTTAAAGATATTTCTGTATATAAGTAATTGGTTACTCGTTAGGTTATTGATGTCTTTTAAAGGACAAGTCGATGTGCATTTCCTCTTTGGCAACGGAGATTTTAAATTTTCTATTCAACAATATACAAACATTTACACTCTTACCTGATAATTTATTGTTTGTCAAATTTTATTACATTCTGAAGAGAAGAAAAAGTTTCAAAATGTCTGGATATGTTCCTAATGTAACAACTACAATCCCGTCCACTTTTATGAATTTGACCTATCGAATTAGACTTAGCAACGGCTTTGTACTTACATGAGCAACACGACGGGTGCCACATGTGGAGCAGGATCTGCTTACCCTTCCGGAGTATCTGGGATTACCCCCAGATTTTGGTGGGGTTCGTGTTGCTCAGTCTTTAGTTTTCTATGTTGTGTTTTGTGAACTATTGTTTGTCTGTTGGTCTTTTTCTCTTTTAGCCATGGCGTTGTCAGTTTATTTTCAACTCATGAGTTTGAATATCCCTCTGGTATTTTTCGCCTCTCTTTTGACGCCGTAACATAACATATGAGGATATACATGAATAATTATTCAACAGAAAACAAATTTGACCCTACGCTAATTAAATATAACAACTCTTGAGAATATGAAATCGCTTGATATCACCCTCGTTAGTTGATCTTTATAGTAATGATAAACTGACAAATTATTATTTATTATAATATTGAAAATAAATATCTCTAGAATTGATATAAAACGATATCCAATTATCCTTCGTAATAAAACATATAAATATAAAACAGATCGAAACTTATATTTACCAGCATGATTTTGCTGAAAGAAGACAGGACGTCATTCTTAAATCCACCTTTATCATTTGGTGCATCAGAAAAGTTATAACTCCCTTTCAGAAACAGACTTTGATATCCATCATAATTCGGTTGGGTAAATCCAACCCACCTAGTGAAATAGGAATGCATTTAATTGTTAATTATATATTGAGTTTGTATGATAGAGATCATTATAATACAGACAATTATTATATCCACAAGCACGAAACCGATTAATTTGTGTACGACATATGTTTCTTTAAACAACGGTAGTAAATAGTCTTAAAGATAAAATTAGAGGATCGGAAAGCTTAAAGGCATGAATCAGGGGGATCAATTTTGAAGATTGCTGCTTACAATGAAGCTATTTAACCAAGTATTCAAGTATTGAAGTTGAGTCATCCCTTTTGAAAATTTAACAGACGCCATCACCAGTTTTCACAGGTGACGAGGGGTGTGTTCCCAAATGTTGTAACCGTAGTCCCGTGCTCTTTTCCTCGAATGTGGCATCACCGAATGAATATTAACACCAAATATGTACTTATATAATTAACAAGAATGGTGCCACATGTGGAGCTGGGTCTGATTACCCTTTCGGAGCGCCTCAGATCACCCTACTTTTAGTGAATTTTCGTGTAGTTTAAACAACTTGGATTTTTTATGTTATGTTTTGTAACTACAGACTTTGTTTTTGCAACAGCGTTGTCAGTATATGAAAGACGTGTGTGTTGGAATGTCCCTTTGTTATCTTACAACTTCTTGTTTTAGTAGAACTGGTATCTAAAGAAAGGGACGTCTTGATATTTTTATAACACTTTCAACTTGCCGTTTTACATTTTTTTATATTATCTTTAGATCCATAATGCGAAAAGACAAGAGAAAGATGTATCATAACATCCCAAGTACATGATACACAAACGTATCAAGCGAATGTCATCAAAATATTATGATCGGGACTGACACAAAATCGAACCCAAATCAAATCCGAAAACGATTTCTGGATTTACGACATCGCGAACGGTTCAAACTAAAAAGTTTGGAAGTCAAGAATAAAGCTAACAGGAAGGGTCTTCAAAGAGTACACAAAATCAACTTGCGGATATCTTTAATTGAGAAAGCGGAAATCCTATTTCTGAATATTTTCTATGTTTATCGGGTCAGCCTGTTTATCAACGGAGAATTTAAACCATACCTTACGTTAGTTAGTTAGTGCAGTGCACAAGGAGGTTAATATTTTCAATACCCTTTCGAGTCAAAGGGCAAGATGATAAAAATAAAAAAGATACTTACGCACCACTTTTCACCACAACTGATGAAGTCATTTTATCAAAATTGTAGCATTTAAGGTCTTGCACATCATCAGCGAAAGTTAGAGTTGGCGCAGTATAATTATAATGTTTGTACAATGTACACTCCGGCACTTCCGTGAAATCCTAAAAATAAAGCTTGAATCAGATATATTATTGACGCTACATTTTGTATTCTCTCATTATAATAGTCAACTTACCTTTTTGTTTGCATCAATTATGAAAGACGAAATTCCAAAACTAAGACTTGACCTGTGTTAAATGAAATCTTTTAAATCCACAAACATTATTTTCATAAATTCTCTAGTGTTTTTCTTTAATTCTTATAGTCTTAAACTCAAAGTTCCAGAGCCCCTTTCGTTTCTAATGTTTTGTCTTGAGGATCCAGGGTATTGGTAATAGTTCCAATTTGGTAATTGAATATATGTCTGAAGCTTTTTTTCAATATTCATTTTTTTTTCAAGATTATATCTATGTCACTATTTTATTTTACTTCTTTTAATAATTTAAGCAAATAAGAAGTGTTTAAACAAATTTGTATAATCGAACTTTTAAACAAAGTATTGCATTTAAAAATTGATAAAGTTGTGGGTATGATAATTGTTATTTAATGGTTATCAATTATTGTCAATATTTTCAATTCCATTTAGCTTGAAAGTAATTATTTACTTACCATTTCGTCTAGCAATTTCAAAGATAATGCTTTATCATTGAAATAGCCTTTGAACTTATCATAACCATAATTTTCACCATCTTCTATGACGAATATTTGTCCTTTGTAGTTTTTTTCCTGGTATAAAATCCACCTTAAAGATATTAAAAAAATAAATCAGATAAATGAAAGTAAATAGGGAAATTCTTTAGTTAATTGACTACAGATATAAATTCATACATGTATTTATAATCGCAAACCTAACAAAATGTGTGAAAATATGGAAGCTATCTTTGCACAATTGGTATTGTGTTCTGTACGAAATTATTATTTTTAACGAGAGATTTATTTTATATTCAGTTAACATTTTTCATAAAATGATGATTCAATTGGAAATGATATTTGTATGTTTAAGTTAGCTTCAATTTATCTCTTTTTCACTCTCATTTGTAATCTTTTTTTAAAAACAATTTTGCTTTAAATCATAATTTGAAAAACAAAGTACCACATAATGTTGATGGCTATACGTACACTCCACTTTCACATTTTACACTTGATGTGATGTTGTTGAAGCCACCCACAGTTAAATCTGGACATGACTTTGAAAATACTTTGCTCCTTCCTTTAAAATCGTGTTCGTACAACGTTATCTTCAATAACAACAAAAACAAATAGTGAATATGATAATCTGTACAAACAGGGCATCATATATTTTCATTTACTGTTTATTCGTATTAAAACACCAACTCCATTAATGTAACAGTTTGAATACAAATAAAGTTAAAGCCCACTCTCAAATGCGTTCCTTGACACTTTCAATAAAAAATAACGGTTTAAGAATTTAAGTCTCAGTTAGAAAAAGAACAATATGATAAACTGCTACCCTGTTTGTCCTTGTTTTGGCCTTCACCTCCTTTCTCCCTACCATAGCCTCTCCAAAGAGTATCTCAACCGACTATATTAAAAACTACTTCGAAACTTTTTTACCGTCTATAATTTTTGGAAATGAAAATTATATTTCTTCCTGCTTGAGGACACCATTATGATTTTGTACTTGGAGGCAAAAATACAAAGTATCAGAAAACCAGCACCTAAAGAAGGAACTACCTTGTTGTCCTCGTAGTTACCTGATACTTTCTACACAATTTTGACCGGATTAAACTAAAAACTGAATGGCTGGAAATTAGAATATTGTGTCCAGGAGTGTGACATATCTTTTTGACGACTGATTACCTGTGAACTAGCATGTAGAAAGTCACACTTACATACTATTTTTCTGATATTCAAGTAATAATTCACGCAATTTTATCACTATCATGTACTGTTGATTCAATTATTTTCATGGGTACCAATTTTTGGTGATTGAAGACACATTATATTTCTTATAAAAATGAGAAGATGTGGTATGTTTGCCAATGAGACATCTCTCCGCATGAGACTTAATGACACAAACGTTAACAATTTTGGGTCACCGTACGGCCTTCAACAATGAGCAAAACCCATACCGCATATTCACATATAAAAGGCCCCGAAATGACAAATGTAAAACAAATTTAACGAGAAAACTAACAGCCTGATTTATATACAATACAATGAATGAAAAACAAATATGATAAACAGCAACAAACAAAAACCACTGAATTACAGTCTCCTTACTTGGGACAGGCACATGCGGATGTGGCGGGGTTGAACATATGAACAAATTATGAAAAGCAGTTGAAATGGGCTTAACTCATCATATCGACACAAAGCAGAAAAAAATAAAGAAAAGGTACAGACCGGACGTGGCAGGGTATTTATACATTCCCCAACAAAAATGACACTAAGTACATATCTAAAAGTACGTCCAATTACTGAAAGCTAGTTCAAAGCAAACAACAACTAAAAATTATATAATTTAACTAAGACTAAAATATCAATCAGCACAATTTCAACATTTAATTCATTTATTATAAAGACTGCATTAACAGTCAGGGAAAACATGGCCTTGTGCAATGCCAAAACAAAGATATAGATTGCAGAAACCGTGAATGCGCATTTGAATGTGTAATAATGTGCAATAATATTAGTTTGGTTTTAATTTACTGATAACAAAATCAATATTTATACAAATAAAACAATATTCAAAGATCTAATTACAGTGTTGAATTGGTAATTTTTTAGAATAAGTATTTTTAAATGGTCGAAAAGTTTACCCGGATCGTATCTAAATTTTAGGGCTCGGTAAACAACATCTCCGTAAAAATTAGGATGTGTTATCCCATTTGATATAAGTTTTCTACAGGTAAAGCCAAACTTCCAAACCAAGTCTTTATATCTTTTTTAGAATTGAATATTTGATTTGTTTCGGACATGCCCAATTTTGCATATATGCCTAAATAAAGTATATACTTCGATGAACAATTCGTTGTGCAAACCAGGTCATTTTCCTTTTTTTCTCGATCCCTTACATCATTCAAAATTTACATCTAATTACTAGTATATGATAAGAATCATTTACCTTTGGTTCCATTTTCAAAGTTTCTGAAATAAAATGTAAATGGACAAGATGACAAGCAAGAACAGTTTTTATTATGCTAAATAAATATCTTATACAAAATCTACTTAGAGAGACCTTGTTCTAGTAGTTTAAAAGTATTAAAATTGCTTATAGCAGTCATTGTCCTTTAAGAAGCAGATATAAAAGTTTGGTCATGCATCACTTTAAAACTAGTAAAGTCACAGACAAACTGCATATCTGTATAAAACAAACGACAGAATTTGCTTAACTGAGAAGTGTTTTGTAAAGAATCTTCATTTTCACGAAATTTACTCTTCATAAAACTGTTAAATAATTCTAAGTTCCCTTTTATTTTCTTATTGACTAGCCTGTGAATCGAGCGCCACTGATGAGTCTTGTGTAATGTACTAATAGATATTTCCAATAAAATGACATTACTCGACATAACCAACCTATCGGACCGTATCTCGGCCATTTGCATTGAAGGATGACGGAGGGGAGCATAGACTGCATGAATTTTTGGCTCGTTGAATACACATACTTTGTTGGAATATATGCTATTTAAAAATAAGCACAATCTGCTATTTTAATTCTTTACATATTTTGTTAATAAATTTGGAATGATTTTATTGAAAACAAACTTTCAAGGGAATAAATTATTCAGTTACCGGTAATCAAATGCACCGATCATTACTTCGCCATTTCACTTGACCAATATATGTATCTCCCAAAGGGTGAATTCTTAAAGCTACTAAATCAAAATTAAGTTTGAAAAATAAAAATAATGGAATCTGAAGCGAGATGATTTTCTCATTTTTGATTTATACGTTATAAAATTAAAACATGAGTTTCAAACAAGCTGGGATGTTAAAGGTGTACACAACTTGCTTCTTCTGTTTTTTTAGCATACTAATGATAGTTCTATAATTCATTTCAATATACTTTTGTCAGAGGTAGAAATTCAGATCACTGTTGCATCTTTCTGCTAGTACTTTGTCACCTTTCCGTAGAATTTATCAAATGGAGTTTATGAGGACGCATCTTCACGACAAAATATGATTACACTTTACTGATAAAATGATTTGAATCTTGGCAGTCAGAGTCTCAACTTGGTTCAAAGACGTCAATGCCAGTAGGGAGTGGACGGTAAATTGAAAATCTAAATTGAAAAATAGTTTTCAGCATTTACAAATGCAAGAAATATCATAGTTTTAATCACGTTTGATTGATTGATTAGATTCCCCACTGCTACTGGACATGGCTGTGTATTTATACATCCCGGACAACCAAACGGACGCCCCTTTTAAGCATGTTATAATGTTGAATACAATCCTTTATAGAGTACATACTGGTACAACCCGCAACGCTAAGGAAACACCAAAAGGGGGATGGAAGGTTACCATACTCTTGATAGGTCACACACTAGCACAAAGATCTTGTCTATATAAAAAAAATCCAGATTTGTGGATTTTATCATGAAATAATAATATTTCGAATGCACATTTATCAATATATTTCAATGAAACTGTTGGTTAAAGGTTTAATTCTCAATATTCAATTTAAAACAGGTCCTGATCAAAACAAAAAAAAAAAAATGACAGAATTATATGTATGACAACCTCTAAAATGCTTTAGTACAGATTGGAGATATTAAAGTTTAAGTTCCACTATGTTTTTTAACTTTACACGTTTAGCTTTTGTCAAAATGCATGGAATAATAATAAGTAAGAGCAAATATTGGTCGGTCCGGAGACAGAATCATGTATCCGGGTAGGGTGACATGTCTTCCTGCGTTATAATACAAAGTCTGGTTCATATTCATCTTATCGTCCAAATATGCATATGCATATATTTTAGTCTCTGATGCATGATTTTTTCTTATTAATTGTTTTTTGGCTTTTAACTAGCTTTCAGTAACTGCGAGTACTCTCAAATCGTACTTTCGTGTTAATTTGACCTGTTGACACAATTTGTAATGCATTTCTGGTTTTCAATTTTTACTTATTTTGTGTTATATCTCGTCTTACTATTTTTTAATATGTACCACCTTTGATAAGTATTTAGTATTTTTTTACACTTCTGTACTTGTACTATGAACAATAAATTTATTTTGTAAAAAAAATTCTGTACACCTAAAAACAAAATTATTATATCTAAATTTACCTGTGTACGTTACTTTATTTAACGCCATTTTGTCCTAGGTTAAAGTTATCTTTTTGACATTGAAACATCTTTTTTTATTTATATTGTGTCATAGATCAAACTTTTTCGTTCAGTGCATATTTACTTGTTTTTGTGTATTGTTTTTTTGAGCGAGTTAAGCCATTTCAATTGATATTTTATTGTGTGTCTATTTATGTTGAAATGTTTTACATTAGTTTCAGGTTAGGGTGAAGGTTGGCGCCTGTTAAAACGTTTAAACCTGCTGCATTTTCATGCACCTGTCCTAAGTCAGGAGCCTGTTGTTCAGTGGTTGTCGTTTGTTGGTGTGGTTCATAAGTGTTTCTCGTATCTCATTTTTTATAAAGATTACACCGTTGGTTTTCCTGTTTGAATTATTTTAAAATGGTCTTTTTGGGGCCTCTTATAACTTGCTATTCGGTGTGAGCCAAGGCTCCGTGTTGAAGGCGGTACTTTGACCTATAATTGTTTACTTTTTACACATTGTGACTTGGATGGATAGTTGTCTCATTGGCACTCATACCACATCTTCATATTTAAATATATTCAAAATACATATGCAACGAACACTTCTATACATGGCCCTGCATCCTATAAATACTTATATTTTAGCGTTGCGCAAAATCGTCACATTCTACACTGCATTTGGAATTAAACGTCGAAAGAGAGCTGTTTTGACTGCATAGCGCATCCAAAAGGAGGATTTAGGTGGAGGGGGCATGTTCCACTTCTAACGTTGCCTAGATTCCCCCTCTTTTAAAATCCTAGATCCGCATCTGGCAACGAAATCATATCATCTTATGTTGTTCTATTTTTCTTACCTAACACATTACAGTTAATGATTTATGTAGTAAAACGAATTCGGTGACCTCCCATTAATTGTTTATCAATAAAATGGATCAAATACTACAAGTTAATTTACTTCAAGGGATATTAAAAACATTGCCGGAAATGTCTCCAATAGGATTCTCGTTAAACAAAACAACACATTTCAATCTGTAATCGAGCACACCTTCTAAAATACAACCTATATAGGGAATTTTTTTATCAATATATTTTATAATAAATGAAAAATAATTTTGTTTAGAAATCAAGTTTTATGTCGATTTTCAACTTTTATAAAAAGACAGATTCTGACAAACACTGGTTTCGATATTTCTGAAAATGTCAGAAAAATATCCTGCTATATGTTTTCCCCACATCAAATATAATAAAAAGATGGAGAAAGAAAAAAAAAAAGAAAAACATCGGATAACGAAACAAAGGCATAATTGGGCGTTCATCTGCAAAGTATATTGAAAAATAATTGTCATTATCAAAATCCATGAAAGATAACTCCAATCGATCGTATAATAGGTATCGGATACGTGTTTTTATACGTGATTTTATTTCAGTGAAAATAAAGGCGGGAATCTGGAGAACCACGTGATAAATGAAAATACAAGATTTCTATCATTTTACGTCATAATAAAATTATTTGATATGGACGAAAATTCCAGTGTGTGATTTTAAGTCTTGGAATACTTGGTTTAAACTTGAGGGACGTATTTATTCAAATTCAATGATTGGCAATAACTAGTCCCATTTGGTCCGTATGTCGAGTTACGTACGTATGTCATTTTATTGGAAATCTCCAGTATACGAAACGCGTGTCTGGCGGACACAATTATAAGCCTGATATCTTTGATGAAATTTCATAAGTCTGTTGTCTTTCGTAATTAAAAATGAATATTCAATCGACGAGGATATATCTGTCAAGACAAAGGAAACTCAACTAAAATGTTTTCAAAACGATACATAGTCAAATCTATAATCAGTTCTATAAACATTTATGATTGAAAAACATGTTTGGTATTTAACTCGGCTAGTTTGAAAAAAATATGTCAAAGGTACACACTTGTCTTTTAAGACAGTATACAAACGGTTTTCAAAATGGTCTAGCACTTAGAGTATTTAAACCAGCATTTCATAATAAGGAAGTTCTGTACAAAAATGAATAAACAAACATCACACGTGAATAATTTTCGGTGTTTTAAAACGGTAATTTTTTCTGAAAATATTTCAGAAATCATAACCGGACCTCCATTGCTTTGTTAAAAATATACATATTACCATTTTACCATGTCAATGTGTTATAATATACTATATTATAAATATAATAGCTTCCGTGTTTTAGAATAGACATTTTTCTTATATAAAGTCAGGACCTTTGTTTCTGTGTTGAACAAATACAAACCACCATTATACCTTGTCACTGAATAAATATATACTACAATATGAATATAGTGATATACTCTATTTGAATGTAACAGTATACTCACAGGTGATATCACTGATATATACATTAGAAAACAAGTAAACATTCTAATAAATCATTGTTTTACCCTGATTGATAGTTCATTTATTAATAAGATAACTTTTTATTTTGAAAAAAGAACATGCACATAAAGTTTCAACATTTATTATAATTCATTTAATTGAAATAAAAATTCATTATTTAAAAATTATTTTTACACTTTAGTTTTCCAAAAGATTAACCATATTTGAATCAACTTCATTTTTATTTTAAAAGAATTGAAAGACAAAACAAAAATAACCCCAGGTATAGTCTTATCTGACACAGCTTATCGCAATTTTCGGTCATTAATGTTTCTACTTGATTTGGACTTTCTTTTGTCTTCATTCGGATGAGAATGAGTCTTATGTAGACGAAATGGACGTCTTGCGTATCAAATAATAAGCCGGTATCATTGATAATTTTTATTTTAATCCGTTGCAAAAACTCTAAATAAGATATGATTAATTAGATGGTCAATTTTCATTCAAATCGAGGTAAAAGTATGAACAAGATTGTTTAATTTTTAACAGCAGTAATACATTTTAATAAATGTTATACCTCTTATGTTTTTGTCAAGCTTTTCTTTTTATGTTGTCTTTTGATAATTTCACCGAAGATTCAGTTTACTAAGACATTTTTAACAATACAATCTAAAGCTGTAAGTCTTTGCTTTTTTAAGTATAGGTGTGCGGAAACCCCAGATTTGTACAATTAAAAAAAAAAAAAAAACTTAAAATAACAAAATAACTACATCTGAGATTAATTATGCTATAATTCATAAAAAAAAAAAAAACCCAACTGGTTCCCATTAAGTTTAATTAATCCTTTGAATCATTTAGAAAGTGTTGCAAAAAGTAAAATAACAAAAATACCGAACTCCGAATTACAAGTTGCAAATTACAACTATAAACTGCTATCACGATAAATTTTATACCTAAAACTATTATATTAGTCTTTCGTCAATATTTTATTTCTTTCTGTCGCCTTTATAATGATTCTGTCTACAAAGGAATTGGTGAACAAAAAAGAAGAAAAACAAAAAACAAAAAACAAAAAAATTTGAGTAATGTGAATTGTAAACGGTACATAGTAAGCAATTATAATCAGTTATATAGATGTTTTGTATAAAAAAAAGTTTCACTTATAAATCAGTGCAGAATTTTTTTGTAATGTACTTACATGCCTTTCTAGACTGTTCAGCTGTTTTCTAAATGCGTTACTTCTGAGGGTATTTATACATAAATCTTGTCCCTAAGGAAGGGTTATATAACAAAGGATATACAAACATAACATATTAAGTATAAAAGAACTTCCTTGTATTTGAATAATATATTTTCCTGAGAATAATGCAGAAATGATGTCCGGATCTTAGTTGCGTTGTGGAACAAATAACTTCCATTGTACATGTAACTAAGTAGATAGCAGTACCAGGATGCACTACCTAGGAGACATAATAGCTATAACGCATGAAAAAAAAAACAGTTTTATGAATATACCAAATTATAAATATAACTAAATATTTGTAAATAATGATAAATACAATTGATATATTTTTCAATTGTTCCAGATTAACATTTTTCTTTATAATTTGATAGTTTGGACAATGATTGTCGGTTGCTATGACAGTCTTGGACGACGAAGGAGATTCTACTACGGAAACCTTTGATGTTTCATTGTTAGATGACATTACATGATTTCTAAATCACAAGAGAACCTTTTAATAGTGTAAAATATGTCGCGTCACTGCTAGTTTATTTTTTGATTCTATTGCCGGTTGTAATAAATTTAATTGCTTGAAGGCGATACGTTTATACACTACTTTAATGACTTACTGAGAAACGGGATATTATCAACAAGACAAACATAATACAACGGTATTATGATATCTAAAAGATGACTTTTTACTTAGTAAAAAAAAAAACATGAACAAATGTTGATACTATGCAAATGATAAGAAGAGATTTGTTTTTCATTTATTGCTTTTACAGTTTGATATTATGTTATGCTGTTCCACTACTGTCTCAGGTTAGGGTAGTGATTGGATTGGTGGCCACAACCATGTTGAACCCCGCCAGATTCTGTCTGTCTCGTCAAGAGCGTGTAATTCAGTAGTTGTCGTTTGTTGCTGTTTGTTCAAGTTTGTTTTTTCGTTTATTGTTTTGTACTTAAATTAGGCCATTGATTTTATCGTTTGTATTGTTTTACATTTGTCGGGATCTTTTATAGCTTGTTATGCGATATGGGTTTTTGACCATTTCTGAAAGCCGTGAAAACGGTGAACTGAAGTTGCTAATTTCTACATCAACTGGTCCCTGGTGTAGAATTGACTCATTGTCAATCCTACCAAATCATCTTTTCTATATATAAATGTATACGAATTTTGTAGAAATTGATAGAAAGAGGTGCTTGCTATACGTCTTAGAGATAGCAACTCCACTGCAAACTTCATAAAACAGAAAATAATGCATGATTAGGACAAATTAGTCAGATGAACTGCGTGCATAATATACAATAATTGTAATTACACAAACAGATCGAATTAGAATAATTGACGGTTATACACATAAGAAGTTTTCTAAATGAATTATTACACTCAATCTGTTAATTTATGTTGGAATTTTATTAAGAACGTTGAATATTTATCATGCCTTTATACGAACGAGTGAGAAACTTTCATTTTATTGATACTTATATAATCAGAAACATCACATCTACATTTAAAATGTATTTTCCCGATATGTATAGAACTGAAAGGGACCTTTAAGTGAAATTGACATTTAAGTTGTCCGTTATATTAGAAATATTAAGATCACTTTTAATGGGGAAGATGAATGACATTGACATATGAATATCTTAAGTGGATTATCACGATACCGTTTTCTATTGTTGGTGATTGATTAACATACTTTTTATAACGCATGGAGAACTCGAACGCAGTAGACAATATATCAAACAGTTAATGGAAACACAAACTCTATAAAATTCATTTTTAAACTTGCAGATTATTAGGGATCATTTACGTCGACCTTCTATGATTTATGATCGTATAATTCTGCTTATTTTTCGAAAATAAACCATGATGTATAATTTATGTTCTTCTTTTGTGTCTTGCCTTCGTTCGGGTATTCCTGAGATTTTACTGTTGGTGCTTCTCTTCAGTTCGTGGTGACTATCGTTTTATTCTGACCTCGTGTTCATGGTATTAACCCAATAATGATAAGTTATTAAGAAAATCTAAACGTCTGAATTTTTTCAATGTTTTTATAGCTTGCAAACTATTCTGTGTTTGTCTTTTTGTAATACTAGGTACCAGGGTTAAACGTCAACTGAAGGATGCTTTACAAAAGCTATAACTTTGCCCGCGCTATTGCAAAATAGAAACCCATTTTAATAATAACATCTTTGTACAGTATATCTTGTAGCAATAAAATTTTCGGGTACAGCCTTGACTCAAATCTAATTATTGATGCAAAGATCTCCAAATAAGTTTTTTTAACATTTTTGCATTTATGCACTATTTTTGAGACGTTTTAATGCCTAATGCAAACCTGTCAGACTTACTAAAACAGACATGAATACTGATGTACTACAACCATTTGAAGTATGTTATTAGTTGAACAATATCACAGTTTTATTTTCGAATTAAAGAGGCCGAAAATACTACTTCATCATTTAAACTTAAATTATTTTGTACAGATTCATTGTTTTGATTAAGTTTATCTTTATTTTGAAGTGGCAGCTCCAAACGGCGACATCGTTAACTAGTTTGTTTTGATATTTTAAAGTATTTACAATAAGTTTACATAATACAAAACATAAATTGCAAATAAAAATATATATAGTGAATTCGACACAAGCTTATTGATCACGAATGAATAACTTCCTTATTTTAATTTACTATTTAAACGTCTTACAATGTTAAATGATATGTTTTCAAAAGCAAATTTTGAAACACTATATACTAATCGGTACTGATCTCGATGCGCCCTTCATTTAGATACTTATTCATTTGATCTATTTTGACACGTAATACGTTTACGATTGATCAAATTATTATGATAATACACAAACAGGTTTACTGTCATATGATGGATGTTAAGAGGTACAAATCTGTGTATTTTGCACATTCTGTTCTGAAGACATTCTCCACTATTCGAATTTAGAGAGGTTGGAGTTTATATTTTTTTTTCACATTAAAACATATATAAACTTACCCGAAGAAGTGAAGATTATTGGGTATTAAGGAGATTAAATGTTTTGTCCGGTCAAGTCATTCATGCTGTCTACTATTAAAGTACTAGTTCTTATGTAAAATTGTATGGGGAGATCAAAATGAAATATAATTCTACCAAATTACATCCTTCAAATGCTTGTAAGACATTAGTCTGTCGGACATCAGCATTCATATGTGTTTAATTTGATTTGACATGATTGCATGAGGGCTTCGAAATTCTTGAATGTTGTGGATAACTGCAATATTCCTATTTTGAGATCTCTTAATCAATAATTATATTTGAGTTAAGGTTTTAGTCAAGACAATATGTTGCTACAAGATATATTGTACACAGAAAACTATTTGTGTCTAACCAATCGTTTGACTTACATATGTTGTGTCAAAAAGTGATGCCTTGCTACTGGAGGTCAAACATGTCAATTTTGACATGTTCATTACATTATGGTGACATAACAAGTGATCTGTCGTCACAAAAATTTCAATATTATATTAGTTTGCGTTTTTCATTACAAATTATAATGACAATCGCAACGATTTACTTTGTCTTTTTCATTTTTTTTTTATTATTATTGACAATGAAGCACCCTTTCCTCGAACTCTGGTGTTCAATTGTAGGATCACTAAAAATTTAAATGAGGATCCTCCCCCCCCCCTTTTTCCAAAAAAAAAAAAAAACAAGTGTTTTTATTGTAAATCGCAAAATAGGACTAGACTACTAGTTTAGTGCTGATAGGAAAAATAGCTACTCTTTCAAATTGTCTTAACTTAAAATTCATAATTATTTTAACCCTGTTGATCAGTACTATGTATAGTAAAGTATTTATGGGCGACAAGAAATATTTGAAATCGACATTGCCTTTCACAACAAATGTAATTCACAGCATATTCATGAACATCACTTCTGTTCTTTGTACAGTACAATGGTGTTAAACTATTCTGTCTTTATTTTATATTTAAGCTGTTGTTGATAATGGTAATTTAGAAAAAAAGATAAAAATTCCGCAAGAAGAATCATACTGCCGTGCGGGGTACTATCAGAAATCACCGGAGGTTGTCGTAGAATGATCTTTATGCTCGTAAATAGATTTACAAAGTACACGATGTTCGAAATACGCTAAACAGATTACAGATAAAGGATAAGAATGATTCCCACCACTAGATAATGCGACTTTTATTGTATATTTTTCTAGTATTCACTAGATCTCTATAAAACTGTTTTTGTAAACGATTTATAGCCGTTGATAGTCTCCCAGACAGTATTTCTTTATATTGCTAATAACTTAGTGACATGGAACAATGGTAGTACTTATTTGCCCAACAACGGTCCGGGTATCATTTCTGAATGATTCTCAGGAAACACATTACTAGTATTTAAATACAAGGAAGCGCTTTTCTATATATTTGTCTAAACCAGACCTCTTTAAAACTAATTTTCAAATGATTTATATCTGTTATTTGTCTCCTAGTAAGTATATCCTTTTATTACTAATAAATTAGTGACATGGAACAATGGTAGTATGTATTTGCTCAACAAAGCAACAAAGGTCCGATTATCATTTGTGAATTACTATCAGGAAAACACATTATTTAAATACAAGGAAGTGCTTTTGTGAATATATTTTTTGGTTTGTTAATCCGTTTTATTATGACCCTTCCTTCGGAACTAAAATTTTGTATAAATACTCTCAGTGGTAAAGCATTTAAAACAGTACACTGGGCTGTCTTAAAAGGATGTAAGTACATAACAAATGGTTCTCTGCATTCACTGAGTTACTACCAAAACGTTTTTTAAATGAAAATATCTATTTATCTGATTGTAGTTTTTATCATGTATCTTTTAACTAAATATAACAGTAGCATATCATTTGCCTTGGCAGATGGCAGATTACCGAATCTCTAATTTAATTGCGAATATGCAACAGAAAAGAAGAAACAGTTTTATCACAAATTTCAGGCTGATAACTGGGTACGCCTGTCGCCCGTTTTGCATACACAAGACTTATCAGTGGCGGCCGATTTCAGACAAATGGAAGGCTATATCAATACGGAAGTTAGAGAACTTCGAATTATTTTGAAGTGTTTTGAAGAGTAAATTTACCAAAATGACGTATCAATAATGTTTTAAGGCAGTATAAAGGTGAAATACTTTAAATCATTAGCGACATCAAATTGATAATTTCACTATTTACTTGTATTTGTAAATTCTTCTTGATAATTAAAAGGATTAGCTAGACTTTAGAGAAAATTAAATTTCTAATGAACTATACATATTATTAATACATGTAATATTTAAAGATTGGATTGCCATACTAACATATCTGCTTCTTTCAACAATAATGATTGCTATAAAAAGATTTATTCTTTAAAAGTACCAGAACAAGGTCGTTTTAGACCGATTTTGAATAAACAAAATTAGCAAAGCAATTACATTCTTACTTACCATATAGTTCAGTCACTTATATTGTATGCTATTTTATTGCAGAAACTTTACAATGGATTCAAAGGTAAATGCTACTTATCATATAATTAGAAGTTAATTTTGAATGATGTAAGGGATCGAAAAAAAATGTAAAAAGAATCATGTTAAGAACAACAAATAAGCTTCCCATTATATATCTTATATGTAGACTTTGACATATTCACGAAATACACTTTTCTTGGTCAACAACATTTGGTACCCGGAGAAATTAAGGAATTCACATTAGATAACGTTGATAACATGTATGCAAATATCACATACATATCAAAACGAAATCATTTGAATGTGACCAACGACGTACTAGATCACAGAGAAACAGTCACCAAAAAGACATGTCAACCTCCCGGACACACTATTTTGACTACCAACAGATCAGTATTTGCTCATTGTCCTAAGTGCCGCTTGCTTAGAAAAAAAGCTGCAAATTCAAATCATTAAGTCTTTTTATTTGATACAGCTGAGAATCAAACCAGCGATCTGGTGCACTAGAGGCGAGCACGTTACCTCTAGACCAGCGAACCAGTTAATTCATTTTTGAAGCTGTTTCTTTAATTGTTTTATCTTCAGGTACCAAACCATAATGGTGTCATGTAGAAAAAGAATAATATTCGTTTACAAAAAAAAAAAAACAAAAAACAAAACAAAACAAAACCCCTAAAAGATTCACGGTGTAGTATCCAATGACAGTTGTGAAATATTGTCGATTGAAATACCTTTTGAGAAGGTCGGATAGGGAAAGGGAGGAAAAAAACAAGGGAATTGAGTTTTCTTTTTTTTTTATATTTCCGAATCACGGAAATTTAAAACAAATTGAGATTTACATGTAAGTTCTTAGCCATTTTTATTGTTGAAAGTGAAAAGGGCACAATTTAGACTTGTACTTTGTTGTCGATTGTTTAACTATAAGGAGTGGATACTTTCCAATGAATATATGGTTTATGATTATACATGATGCCCTTTTTGTATAAATGATCTTTTCACTATTGGTATTTTTTTGTTTTTGAAGGTAACGTTGTACGAACACGATTTTAAAGGAAAGAGCAAAGGTTTTACAAAATCATGTCCAGATTTAACAGTGGATGGCTTCAACAACATCACTTCAAGTGTTAAATGCGAAAAAGGGGTGTAAGTATTGCTATTAAAATATTGTAGTTATTTTTTCAAATTGTAATTTAAGAAAATTTGTAAATAAAAAATTTAATAAATTTGAATGAGGAAAGGAAAAGTCGAAAGTTACTTAAACATATAAATGATATATCGAATTTAAGTATCATTTTATAACAACTGTAACTGAATATGGAATAAATCCATCGATACAAAATGTTTTCTCGCAGGACGCAAAAATACAGTGGCGAAGAAACTTTTCATATATGATTCTAGAATCGTGGATTACAAATACGTGTATGAATTCATGTTAGTAGTCAATTATCATAGGACTTTTCCGATTAACTTTTATTGAAGTGATTCATTTTAAGGTGGATTTTATACCAGGAAAAAAACTACAAAGGACAAATATTTGTCATTAAAGATGGTGAAAAATATGGTTATGATAAGTTCAAAGGCTATTTCAATGACAAAGCATTATCTTTGAGATTGTTAGACGAAAATGTAAGTATTGAGTTACTTTATACTAACACGAATGAATTTGAAATGTTTTCAATGTCCCTGGCGTTGGTATCTGTTATGGGATTATACTTGATCTTGTACGATGCATGTACAAGCATAGTATATTGTTACATGTGTACTGTGGTTTTGGTTGGATTTTACTCCTTCGTTTGTTTGTTAAATCCTGAATTTATGATTTTTCAGCTAATTACGTTGTATTACCTTGAAATGCTCCTGGCTCTACTTGGAATTAAACTGGCCGTGTCAGAATCTAAAGGGCTATGGTTCATAATATTGTTCGTACCCAAAAATGAAACTAACGGCACGTTATTGGTTGCATTTCCATTGTTAAGGACGTTTCAAACCAATCATGACGTTTTAACCAATCACGACGTTTTGGTGTACACTTTTGAAAATATTATCCAGATTTAATTTGATTCTAAAACGGCGAATTATTCATTTCCTTATCAATCATCTGTGAAAAATAATTGAATCTAAACAGGTAAAGTCTTGGAATTTCATCATTCGTAATTGATGCATTCAAAAAGATTAGTTGAATATTATAATGAAAGAAGACCAGATTTAACGTCAATGAAATATCTGATTGAAGCTGTATTTTTAGGATTTCAATGGAGAGCCGGAGTGTACATTGTACAAACATGGGAATTATACTGCACCAACTCTAACTTTCGCTGATGATGTAAAAAGCCTTAAATGCTACAATTTTGATAAAATGACGTCATCAGTTGTGGTGAAAAGTGGTGCGTAAGTATCGTTTGAATATTCATTATGTAGGCCTTTGACTTGAAAAGGTATTTGAAATATTAACCTCCTATGTACTGCACTAACGTAAGGTGTGGTTTAAATATTTGTTGATAACCAGGCTTACATAAACATAGAAATTATTCCGAAAAAGAATCTAAACTTCCTCAATTAAAGATGGCCGCAAATTGATTTTTTCTATTCTTTTTAGACCCCTTCCTCTCTATTTTATTCTTGACTTTCAAACTTTTATGGTTTAATCGTCCCTGATATAGTAAATCCAGAAAAGTGTTTTCGGTCACACTAAATTTATTAAGTGTTTTTTTTTCTAGATTAAATGAGTGTTCAATAAAGTTCAAATCTAAATGTAGTTTTTTAAATTGAGTACATAAGGAGTGTTTTGATGTTTGCTATAAACAAACCAGATGTTGCACTGTTTAACATTTCTTATAAAATTATTTAATGAGACGGTTTTTCTTTTGTTAATATGCATATATATTTATATATATATGATATGAAACTAACATTTTATCAATGTGTAGAATGGAATTGATACTTTGAATGAAGCCTCTGTTCATCTTTATATGAAAAAGATCATTCATTCTAAACTCTTTTTTTATCGGGGACACTCTAGAACGGTTCACATGAAGAACGTTAACATGGTTTATATAAATATTCTCAAGTCATCTGCTGGTTTTGATATGTTGTCAGTCCCGATCACAATGATTTCATAATGATCATAAACATTAGCTTGACACGTGATCAGTTCTTTTATTCCTCAGTGAGTTAACCTTGCTATTAATGTAACAGGTACTCGGAATGTTATGGAATATCTTTTATCATTTCACGTTATGGATCTAAATATAATTTAAAAAAGGAAAACTGCAAGTCGAAATTCCAAAATATCTAAACTTGTTATTAAAATTTCCAACAATCATTTTATGAAGATACTAGTTCGACCACAAAGGGACCTGTAAGAAAACAAAGGGACATTCAAACTCACATGTCTTCCATATACTTACAACTATGTACAAAAAAAACCAAACGAAAAATTGCGAAAAGAGCAGAAAAAAACACAGTCTTAAGTTACTTAACACAACCTTAAATACTAAAGACTGAGCTACACGAAATTTAGATAATACAGGTGGTGATCTCGTGTGCTCCGGAATATAGGCATACTCTGCTTCATATGTCACTCCTGTCGTGTTAATTATGCAAGTACAAATTCGATGATAAGGCTCATTTGGCGATGCCACGAAGATTGGGACATCTGTCGTCACCTGTGACAAAGATATTCCAAATTGATAAAACAACTGGTTTAATCTGATTCGTTTATAAAGAGTCTCATGTTCACTTTTTTTTTCAAAGGCAGACTGGACACAGTAGTTAGAAGAGTTATTTGTTTTGGTTTAATTTTAGATATGTAAACATACATATGTATGATTACTCTAAATATCAGCACAACAATTTTAAATTTTCAAGGGACGACTTCAATATTGCCACCTAGATACTCGATTTAATAGCTTCTTTGTTAGCATCAACCCTCAAAATTGATCTTTCCATTTAATGGCTGTAAGCTTTTCGTTTCTTTAATGCTTTCTTTAGGAATATTCACTACCGTAGTTTTAAGAAACATATGTCGTACACCAGTTAATCGTTCTGGTGGATTCAATACTTGTCTGCCTTATGACGATTTCTAGCATACAAACTCAGTATCTAATAAATAGGTGAATAATTTCTTATTTTCCTAGGTGGGTTGGATTTACTCAACCGAATTATGATGGATATCAAAGTCTGTTTCTGAAAGGGAGTTATAACTTTTCGGATGCACCAAATGATAAAGGTGGATTTAAGAATGACGTCCTGTCTTCTTTCAGCAAAATCATGCTGGTAAATATAAGTTTCGATCTATTTTATATTTATATATTTCATAATGAATTGAATATTTTCTGATATCAGTTCGGGTTATATAATTTCAAATTAGTAATGAATTAGAATTTGTAAAATTGATCATTACTATTGAGATTTAATAACGAGGCTGATATCAAGCGATTTCCAATTCTCAATAGTTGTTAAATCTAAGTATCGTATGGTAATATTCTATCAATAAAGGTAACAGTAGTATACCGCTGTTCAATAGTCATAAATCGATTAAGTTAAAACAAATCTGAGTCACAAACCAAAACGGAGGGAAGCACATCAACTATAAGAGGAAAACAACGGAACAACAGAAACACTATACTGCAACAAAAACAAACGCCAACATACATAGAAACGGACTATTTGATAACAACTGCCATATTCCTGACTTGGTACAGGACATTCAAAAACAAATTTTGGGTTGAACCTGGTTTTATAGCTAGCAAAAACTCCCGCTTATATGGCAATGTTAAAAATACCGCTAAGATGACAACATTGCGTGACAGAAATACAGAAAAAGATTATTCTATTAAGTAATAATTCGTTCATCTAGTAATTTGCACATACTTGTATGACGTCATGTGTCCTGTTAATGTGTCAATCATCAGGCATTTTAAAACTGTTTGTTCACTTAAGAATTTAATAAAGTTTGACAAAAAATAAGTTTAGCAGAGTGTGAATGTTAGTAAATTGTTAAAGAGAAATAAAAATCTCCGTTGCCATGGAGGAAATGCACATTTACTTGTCCTATTAACCTATGACATAACAAATAACCAATTTCTTATATGCAGAGATATCATTAAAACGGAAAAAGATACAAACAGGGCTAAGACCACACTATGGTCATACTAAAAAAGACAAAAAGACACTACTAAGAACCCTGAATATTGAGACACAGCAAAAAACTTGAGCAATACATTTATTTAATATTCTTTTGTCTTATTTGAAAAAAAGAGGGTGTTGGATAACAACCAGCTTCTTAACAATTGGAAGAATATTGACATTATTTAGCAAAAATGTTCTCCTAGGAACGATAACCAACTCTGGTAAATAACTTATTCCAGCATGTATTTTTCATCAATGAAATTATCCTCGTATTCGTGAAGGTAAACCATCTATTTTATGTTAGATATGCACGAATAATGACTAACCCTTTAATATTTTGACCGTTACAACTTCGTTCTTCATATGGTCTTTTTAACTTTTTTTATTTGAGCGTCACAGATGAGTCTTTTAAAGACAAAATGCTCGTTCAAAATTAAATCCTGGTATCTATGATGATTTATTTCGTTTAACATGAAAGAAGTAACTACATTAATTTAATTAACTTTGTTTGGTTGTGTCTAGTAAAAATGGCGGTGATCACATACTGTGGCTAGAATTTGGATTTGGGTTTAGAATTCGTGATTAAAAATTTTCCAATCCAGTATACCCTCATAAATAGTTGAGTTATATAATACATGGATGTCCATCAATATATGTTAATGTCAAAAAATATGGTAGCATGCATAAAAATGTATAGTTATATATTTTCAATATCAGAATTTTTTAAATTCTTATTATAATATGTTTTATATGCCCTTGTCTTCTGACAACAAAATGAAAAAAAATTTCGACAATAATTTACATCTTTGTACCTATCGGACACACGAGGCTTCTTGTGAACATATGGTTATACAATATGATACGAAATGGTTATAATTTTAACGAACTTGATATAAAAATTTATTGTATTTTTAAGACAATTTGACAATTTGAATCCATTAATATTGAATATAGTGATAGACTATACATTGGTTATGTGGTTATTGACATCTTGTTTTGCCTGCAAGGTGTTACAATGATATCGTACAAGAAACAGGTGGGTAAATATATTAATATTCCATGTCTAAATTTCATCACAAGGTGTTACAATGATATCGTACAAGAAACAGGTGGGTAAATATATTAATATTCCATGTCTAAATTTCATCACAAAGATTTAATAATTCCCCTTTTCGCTACATTATTATATTCGCTGCTTTTAAAATCAAATCTTCAATGGTGCCACATTATTTCTAATTCTAATTTTTCAAGAAACCATCAGCTCCGGGTAAGATGAAGCTGCTAAAGATTGATTATGACCAGGAGGAAGCATGTATCAGCAAGACTCCCACATCCGTCTTTAGATGGATGCAGGTGAACAGTGGTTCGGTTGTTCAGACTGTACCAAAACAAGAAGAAGTAACCATTAAAAGAGAAGCAACTTACGAGTTCAAATGGGACAGAGCAGCTAAAGTATCTGGTAAAATTAGCATTATTAAGAGAATCTCAAAGAATTATTCAGACAGTAATTTCAAGATACTATTGGCTCAGCTATTCATCGAGGACATTTCGTAGAGTTTTCACAAGTAATGAACACAATGAAACATAGATAGAAGTATTACGGTAAATAGAAACCAGAAAGTTAAAATTTGGCGATTTGTTGTGACATTTCATATTGTATATTAAGTTAAAAGAACACAATTTATGGAAGTTAATTACCTATTGATAAGAATAAATCTTTATGATAAATAGCTCTTTGTCTGTCGTCTATCGTATTAGATAAACAGTCACAGTAATACATTTGAGATTTGTTTTGAAAGTGCAAAATATTTCATTACAGCAACATTGACAGCAAAAACTCAAATTCCGTTAGTTGGTAAAACAGGAATCAGTATGAGTGCTGATATGTCCGTTAGTATGGGCAGTACTGCAGGAACTAATAAGTCAAAAGCTGAAGAATGGGCTCCAGAATATCCGTCAAAAATCAAACCATATACTAGGTAATATTATTATTGTGTATATTCTAACTAATCTGATTCGTTTATAAAGAGTCTCATGTTCACTTTTATTTTCAAAGGCAGACTGGACACAGTAGTTAGAAGAGTTATTTGTTTTGGTTTAATTTTAGATATGTAAGCATACATATGTATGATTACTCTAAATATCAGCACAACAATGTTAAATCTGCAAATTTGCGGAAGCAAATTTTTGTTCTTCCCTCGCCGGGATTCGGACTTATGCATGTGTTTTCAGCCGTGTATCACCTTCACTGGTGATCCAATGGACGGATCTGTCGTAGAGTTGTCACTTGTTTAGACGTACGTAATATAATTATTTCTGTTACAGTATCTTACGATCCTTTAGTTTACGATAGATATTTAGCTAATCTGCAATCAATTCAATCTTCATGTTTTATATATCATGTACTGTGTTACAATTCTAGATTCTACTGACGAGGAAAGGTAACACTAGGCCACCGAAAGCTAAATTATTAGTTCAGTCTAGGTGGCCGTGTGGTCTAGAGCGCTGGACACAGTGCAGGCGGTGTTGCCTCGATATCCCAATAGTATGAGTTCAAATCCCGGCGAGGGAAGAACAAACATTTGCTTCCGTAAATTTGCAGATTTAACATTGTTGTGCTGATATTTAGAGTAATTGTGAATATAATACTAGTATGTGTTTTCAGCCGTGTATCACCTTCACTGGTGATCCGATGGATGGATCTGTCGTAGAGTTGTCACTTGTTTAGATGTACTTATCAACACATATATATATATGCAAAGCAATGCATTGTCCTATAGGAAGTATCCTTTAGTACATATCTTTATAATTTCTTTCATTATCTTAACCCCCCTCAATGTACAGAGAAGGACAATTTTCCATATAAAATTTTGTCTACATATAGACAATATGTTGATAAATAGATGGTAGTACATTTAGTCTCGTTTAATGGGTTATCCAACGTTATATTTTGTCTATATCAAGACAATATTACATGAATTGAATTTCGTGAATTTTTGTCTCATTAAAGACATTATAGAGCGATTATAGAAACTATTTGTTTTCGAGAACGATACCATTACAGTGTATTTTGTTCATAACACATAACAAATTTTCTTAAATATAGTTATAATCATAAAAGTGGTTTTGTACATCATGGATGTCAAGGTATATAAACAACTATTAGAAGATTTAAGTTCTTAAAAATTTTCTGAGGGAATGATGCACTCTATATGTTTTGTAAACAATTTGTTATTTTTAAATCTACAACTATCATGTTTTCACCTAATCTCTCTCTTAATTAATCAAACGTTAAAACTGACCTTTCTCACAACACATGTAAAGAGAAATGTAAAAAAAATAATATAAAATAAATTATTGTCCTGGAGAATATTTCAAAGAAATTCAATATAGAATATTCTCTACGGAGGACAACACATTAAAAGATAATTTTATTGTAATAATCAGCAGAAAATTTGGTTATTTTTTTGGAAGTTGAACAATCGGAAGTTTATATTTTACACATCTTGTTTATAATTGTAGAGCTACAGTAACATCGACATTGACCCAAGTGAATATCAGCATTCCATTTACCGCCCTATTGTGTTACGAAGCCGACACAGAACGCACAATAATAGAAAAGGGCGTGTTTTATGGAACCCAGTACTTTGGTTTTCACAGTGAATCCAAGGAAACAAAAGAACCTACACTAAAGCCAAAATAAACGTTTTGTCTCTTCTGTGATTTGGCAGTGGTATTTGTATATCAAACAATCGTGTCTGTTTGTTTTAAAGATTTTCTCTGATTGTGTACTACTTATGTGTTTTTACTATCTATGTAGGTCATATGAAAGTAATCAGATATGTTAATGTAGATGTTTGTTTTGTTTGTGTACTTACTATGCTTTTCTACCTGTGTAGGACATTCAAAGTAATCTATGTTTTAAATATAGATGTTTGTTTTGTTTGTGTACTATTCGTGTTTTTTTCTATCTATGTAGGACATTAAAAGAAATCAGCTTTTTGATTGTAGATGTTTGTTTTGTGTGTTTGTTTCAACGCCACTTTCAATGCCCTTTGATATACCCAGCTAATTTTAATTAGTAGAGTACACCAATTCATTCCGGGAAGCAATCTAGCAATTCTCGTTATTTAAGATTGCGGTCGATCACATCTCACCATGAGAGGGGTTCGAACTGAAAATACTAAAATTGACAGTGATCACTGTAGATGAACTGCTTAAATCACTTAGACACTACGTCCCCTAACGTGTAATATTATTTGATAACAGCAACAAGGTATCATTCTAAATGTAACGACTGTCTATACATGTTTTGAACAAAACACAATTATCAATGAGAATAAAGTAAGAGAATTAAACTGACTGGACATTAAAGCCTCTATCGTATCATATCATGTTTATATTTTGAGTAATAGCGAAAAATTTTGTTTCTGTATTTGTAAAATTGCAGTAAAAGCAGTTCACAATAATGAAACAATCTTAGTACAGACCATCACATATCAATATAATGCACTTGAAATACTTGATTCAGAAGCAAGCAAAGTTACTTTTGCAAAGTGTCTCTAATAGTATACAATTAATGTACATGTTGGTTATCACTTAAATTTTCGCAAACCCTGCAATAAATATATCAACATAAAAAGTGTCATAACTATAATATAGTCTCTACTAGTATACAATTAATGTACATGTTGGTCAACACTTAAATTTTAGCATACCCTGTAATAAATATATCAATATGAAAAGTGTCATAACTATAATATAGTCTCTAATAGTATACAAATAATGTACATATTGGTCAACACTTAAATTTTCGCATACCCTGCAATAAATATATCAATATAAAAAGTGTCATAACTATAATATTGAATAAAGAAATAATTTTGTGATGTGTACATGAGAGGCAAAAGGTACCAAAGGAACATTCAAACTCACATAGTCAAAAGTAAACTGACAATGCTATGGCAAAATAAGAAAGAAAAAGACACTACAGTGTGAAATGCTTTGGTTTTGTTTTTGATAAAGCATTAACCCTTTCCCTTTCAGGCATTTTAGACCTTTACTTATCGAAAAGACACTATCAAAGTTCAATTGAATACTGCATTCGCACCAATGGTCATGCACATGCCATGTTGGGCTCATATGAAAGATAATTGATCAAATATTTCAGAAAATTACGTTTAAAGATAATTCGTCCTTTTTTGGTCACGTGGGATGTTTAGAAAATTCACGTGACTTTTGGAGAAAATGTGGAAAAATACGAAATCCTTTGGACAAAAGTCGTGTAGAGACGTATTGTTGCGCTAATAGGGTAAGGTTTTTGGTGGAAACACAATGCCCCAAGTCTGTTGAAGACATACAAGTTATCATATTGGTATTAAAAGAGGAAATACATGCTATATGCCTTAAAATCTCGATGTCCGTAACATTCAAATTAACTGATTTCAGACGCTCTTTTCGTCAAATTTCAAACTCGGACACTAGTTTTTTGTCTAAATCGATTTCAGTCAAGCAGTAACCTAAATTTAGTTTTCTAAGGGAAAATTCATTGAGTTACTAATGATAACTTGATGTGGCGCACCCTGAACCGAACCCGAGGAAGTAAATGGGGGAAAAAAGGGGGGGGGGGGCAATTTGGCACACACATTCTTTTAAAAACAAACATAAGTATTTCGTTGGTTTTTCTTTTTGAAATTGAAAGTAAAGTTAAGTTAAGTTACATTTAATATAGGAAATAATTTTTCCACTTCCGGCAGTGAGAATCGAACACGCGATATTTCCGCCTTGGGTTTGTTCAGCATACCCCTGCACCACTGGCATCGTTAGGAATATATTGAAATTTAAGTACTTAAGTCTACTACTCAAGACGTGAAAAAAAACAAAAAAAACATATGAAGATCCTCACCCAGCTTGTTTTCGTTTAGAAATTATGTGTTCAGATAATATATTTTGATGCCAAATGGCCAAATGCATGGTTTTTGCGCAAATAAAGCAGGAATCCAGTTCTTAGTCTGTCTTGTTTCCATTGACATATACATTTTCCCTCATTTAAACAAAAGTGTTTTCAACTTTATCATGCCCAAACACTTACGAAACCATGTTTTGTTACATCTATTTCAACTTTGCTAAAAAAATTCAGGACATTTCAGTGGTTTTTGTCTCTTTTACGATAAAATCTTTAAGAAATGATTACGGATTTTTAGCGCATTTCAAGTTTGTGATTGCGCTGGTACACTAAAAATTACATTTTTAACTAGTGTACAAGTTAGAACTATTATTTTAATACCATTCTTCAAAAACTCACTGCACAGTTATTGAAAAAAGTCATAATTCCCCCAAAAAGAACAGTTTTCTATGCACTTCTTTTTGAAAATATTATTTTAAATTCGAAGAAAAAAAAAAAGGTTTTTACAGAATAAATACATGTCAGTAAGAGGCGAATTGACTATATACTGATAATGATAGAAGTTTGATGCACATTCAATCATATAGCTGGTATTCTGAGGATTAATTTGAGTCCTTAACCATATCTGTACGTCAGCAAATGACGATGGAACAAGACTAAATGCCCCAAAAATATCTTAAAATTTGCTTCACCGGTAAGCTGTACCGGTGTGAAAGGGAAAGGGTTAATATCATGGATTAAAACTTTTGCTTTTGGTAATGTGTTTTTGCCTCAACTAAATATGAGTCTATTCTGTTCCACTGAGAGCATATTTGAGCCAAAGAGCAAAATTTTGGTGTGGACAGAACGATCTAAAAAGGAAGTTAATGGTTTATGTCTTAAGTCGATGTATATTAACCAGGACAACATGAAATAAGAATTTGTTTCTAAATCACAACAATGAAAGTTTGGGAAATCTACAAAATTAAGGAAAAAGTAAGATTTGAATGACCTCGAGTTAATTCTTAAGCGGTCATGAAGAACTTGCCCAAGGCGATGATTACCTACGTAATAACAAATTCGGACATTACTATTTTGAGTGCGTATTTGTTTTTGAACACGGATAAAGACTCACATTTTCTGATGTTTAATAAAGTGTATTCCATAATCTTAGTCCTGCTGTCAAGAATATTCAGATAATTAAAGGGTTCGTGTGTATATTTGTATAACAATATCTCATTGATTTGTATAACAATATTTCGTTGTTTTTTATAACAACATTTCGTTTATTTGTTGAGTGTCATGTCTACTTCCCATTGAATCAGGCATTAAGTCTCCTAAATACTCTGGTGTCTTACTATTCAAAATTTCACGCAAAAAAAATCTATATGATTGCATTGTCGATCAGAAAATATTTAATAATGTATTGGGTTTCAGTACATAATCTATTAATAAATAATCAAACGGTCGTGTTGATCATGTTGATGTACATGATCGAAATATAAAGAGGTAAAATATGCAATCATGTTAACAATTTTTATTATAAATTCTGTTTAAAAAGCCCTTACCAATGCTTTTTGTATGTGATACTTTCAATATAAGATACCAATTTTCAACTTTAGGATATAGTTAGCATGGATGAATCCAGCCTAGCACTTAAAGTTAGAATAGAAAGAAATGTTGTATCTGCCGAATGAATTGAATATAAATTAAACTTTTCACACAAAGGTGAGGCGATATATACCAAAAGGAACATTCAAACTCCTAAGTCGAAAATATACTGACATCGTCATAGCTAAAAATGAAAAGGACCAAAAGATAAACAACTGACGTATACAAAGCAGAAACTAAAGACTGAGAACACGAACCCCATCAAAATCTTGGGATGATCGCCACTACCTATAACCGAGTACGGCAGAAAGTGATTTTCCCCCGATTATAGTACTGATTTTCCTCGATTTTGTACTGATTTTTCATGATAAATTTTACACTATAGTTCTGTTATTTAATTTAAGTAGCTTGAACTAATCAATTGCTTAAAGATCATTTATTCTGTCTGGTCAGCAGTCATTAGTAAGTGATATCCTGAGGTGGGATTGCTTTGAAGTTACATCATGACCTTCCTTATTCTTTGTTTTGATGCTGTTGCAGCTGATTTGAGTCAAACAAAATCTGTTTTAGTCTGCTTTTAGAAAACTGGGAGTATAAATTAGATTTTTTTTCATGAAATTTTTTTCAAATATAATAATCTGAAAAATGCAAGTAGATTTTTGGACAAAATAAGCATTTAAATGGGAAAAAAATAGCAATTAAACTTGAGCTTTGGTGTACAGATTGTCCCCGATCAGCTTGTGTTGATTACAGATTTTCCCTGATACCTATACAGATTGTCCCAGATTTTGAAAAAAGCTTATCCTTCAAAAATAAAGCTAATATGTGGATCTTCTTTACACTAAAGCATGTGCTAATAAAAATAGTGGAATATATGAAAAATTTTCCTGCAAACCTGTAATTCTACAATTTTATATATAAAATTGAATTAGAGATTTTTTTGTTCATTGATATTTCATTGGTTGGTTCAGAAACTTTAAACAGGTTTCTTCTTGCTTGGGGTTCATAACTTACTGTTTGTATATTTCTGGATTCATAGTTTGGTGAATTTGATAAATTGTCTGAAATGGTTGGAGATTGTGATGATTTGCCTTTTTTGAAAATCTTTTCTGGTGTATTTGTTGATAAGTTACAAATTATAATTTATTCATCTTGTATTTTAATAAAAGTTTTTCCTTCTCTGTCAAGAAGTTCTGGAATGAATGCATGGTATGTTATCTTTCACCACCCTCTTCAAGTCTTCTCCAAATGACAAGTTTTTCAGATGGATGTGTCTTCTGATGGTGAGCTACTATTTCTTCAAAGATGACATTTTTAGAAAGCTATTAAAGCTATGTTGATATTTTCTTGCAAGTAACAGTTAAAAAAAAAACTTAAAATGAACCTTTTTTCCTTATGATACTAGAAAATCGGGGAAAATCTGTAATTAACTTCATCTTCTCTGGGACAATCTGTACACTGATAGTGGACAATCAGTACACTGCATCAGAAATTGAAATCATAATATTTTCCTAA